GCCTAATATTTGTAACAAAGCATACTTCATCGGTTAATCAAATAACGCATCAATTGAAACAGACAACTCAAAACAATTATTGTAATTATTCTTTAACTCAGTTTTTTCTATCTAAAAAGTACGTCATCCACAAACAAGTGATTTATTATTATATTGCAGGGTAAGGTTGTTCCTTACGTAAATTCTACTATACTATCACTAAGTGGGAATGATGGGAATGGGAATAAATGGATCAAAGCAATATTCTGTGCAGAACTACCTTAATAAACACACCCTACACTCCCCAATCCTTAATCCTAATCCTCAAATCTCAAAACCCATATTTCATAGAATATCATAACTATTCCAATGCTCATGAACGCTTGTAATACTGAAGTTTTCTGTTTGTAATACTGAAGTTTTGAGGTCACACCCCGGGGTCACACTGTGCAGATTTGACCATATTTCTTTTCAAAGTATATTTTGTCAGTTTGCACATTTCTTGCAGAAATATCAAAAAGCTTCAAATGATAGTAAAACCCTTGACTTTTTCATTCATACTTTAACATTTTCTCTCTATATGTAGAGATATATTCAAATTGGAGAGTGCATATTTCATCAAACCAAAAAATGATCATATAGCCTAATTATCAGACATCATTTTGGCCTACACATAACTAAATAAAACATACATAACATCTGAACAAAGGGTAGACCTCGGCGACGTTCTTGGTATTTGTAATTTATCAATACGGCCAAGGAGGATTGGCTCGTAGAATGCATTCTCGCTATTTTCCAACAATGAAAATGTCAGAATGTCGTTATTGTTATTGTTCGACATTAAAGTAAACTGGTTATACATTCATAATCATCGAATCCAAGGGATTCGAGCTAATAAGTTGATCACTTCCCGTGTGTGACCAAACCACTCGATTCAAAATTTGAAGAGAAAATCACGACATCCTTTAAGAGAGGATTCATTGTTGGAAAATATCGAGATGCGTTCCTTGGAGCCAAACCTGCTTACATACGGCGTCCGACATCGCGACCTGGGTGATGTCATTGAGAAAAAATCGAGTGTCCTCTTTTGTCCGAGTCCAGTTTTCCTCGGCCTCATCTATGTATTATCAAAACCAATTGCAATTTGATATATAATCGGGAAATAACAAAATTCGATCTTGAAATCTCCAAAATCCCAGAACAATAATTGAAACATCTTTTATTGCCGGATGTTAGCAAACTAATTGACACTTTGTGAAGTTAATTTGTTCCTTGGAATGTCTTACATCCCTAATGTGAGCACTAACAATTAAATTCAAAGAAAATGTAATTTTCTTTCAATGCTTCAATCTAGTTTAAAGCCAGAATCAGATATATAGGGGGTGACAAAATTACAAGCAATATGTAAAATTGATCTACCAATCTATTCCTTACAATCTCAAATACAATATCTCCCAAAAGATTCATAGACATGAAAAGGAATGACATAAGCCAGGAAGATTCTAAAATTAAAACAATTTTTTGTTTGGCTGCTCGCTAGATCTGATTCTCTCTTTAAAATACAGTATCAATCTAGAGTAGAAAGAATCAGTTTGCAAATATTCATTACTTAATGTACTAGGACACTGTTTCAATAGGAGACAATCTTTCCTTTAATGACTGTCTATCATATATTGAGGATAAACGAAACATGCATATTTTCTCTATAAAAACATATTTGAATAATAAATTTTTGACAAACTATGCAGCTGTCAGTACTAAAAGGTTCTCATTAATATACTAGTATAAATGATTCAATTATCATTTATTATCCGGTTTATCCCCCAATGTATGACGCTGACAGGAGATTGTATAATGGCATGGTACCTGTATCTATAGCTCCATAGCACTAGCCTATTTTATACATAAACACAATTGAGCCTCAACATAAGAAAACCGGTCTTATCACAAAAATTAATTTTGTGATAGAGAAGCCAAGATTAAGAGGAAAATGTCCTTTTGGTCTATCTACAAGGAAAAAATTGTTAAGACATGAATCGTGGCTCTTTGTGCATTTTAAGATAACAAAAAAACATAATATTGAAAAAAAATCTGTGATAAGACCCCTTTTCCTGTGGCCTGGCTCAATTATATATCATAATGTACTTTAAATTACAAAAATCATATTAACCGCGCGCCGTTTAGCTATCAATTGTGATCCACGAGAGCAATGGTTACTTATAAAATACTGACAATTAAGTTATTATATCTGGAGACTGAACCCAATAAAGAGATGATAATCATACACTTTTCTTATGATTTTACCTTTACCACACTCAGGTGAGTTCAGGTCATATTAAAGATATCGTCATAATAGCAGATTACAGTAAAAACCTGTCCAAGTAGAACATCTTTGGTACCTCTAAAAGGTGTCCACTTGGGAGGTGTTCCACTTAAACTACACTCATTTAACATTATCGGTTGGCCTTGGGACTCTGATAATTGTTCCACTAGTGTTCCACTTTACAGGTTACATTCTATATTATTACTGACAGATAAGCTGAGGATAACAAGAGTTTTGACGTGAGGTCAATTGAAGTATATATTCGAGTATATATATTATTTATAAAGGATATGTATCGATATGGTGAACTGAATTCAATAATGTTTTTCTCTTAAAGTGCGCGCCTGACCCGGCTACGTATAGCACAGAGTTTATACTGGCGGATTAGACTAGTTCATTTTTTATATGTGTGTGAAAGCTTTCTCTTATTTGCGTTTTTTCGTTTAGTACGGTTTTGTTATAATTGCCGAGGTCATATAACCGGGATAAAACAATGATTATCGTTGACTGCCCACACACAAAACATTGAAAACATACGTTGAGTGAACAGTGTTATTACAAACAACAGGCTTTAGAATACAAAGCGTAGTGTGATAATAAGCTGCACACTACCACTGCTGCATGTACATATTACTAATTCACTAGGGCTCCCAAAGAGTGGATAGGGAGGTTGTGTTTGTCAATTTTAAATTTTACATTTCAAAATTGTCATTTTACATGTCATAATTTGTTGGTTTCATTCGTTTAGCCAATCAAAACATTGTAAAACAATAAATTGTCTGTTACGTACAATCAACTTTGTTCAGTTTTGATTAGTTGTCAGAATAAAGTTACGTTCATCTGAATCCATGTATCAAAACAAAAATCCTATTCTCACTTCAAAATACTTCAGTGAGATGAAGGCTCGGAATTGTCACATGCAATAACTTATTGTCGTATTCGTTATTTTATCTTCTCGATAGTAGCATTTAGTCGCACATTTGATGCCAGGTCACCTTGTCGCGTACCTCTTGGGGAACCCCACATTTATGTGTGTACTCATGGAAGTAAATTCCCCGGTGTAGCCGAGAGCCACAAACTTTTCAACAAATTCGAAATGACCAATTTCTCTCATATATACTCTAGATATTTTATTATTTAGCACCTACAAAGTATTGCTAATAATCATATGTAATTTCAATAAGGAAACTTATCTGGCTACATATAAATTCAATATCAACACTAGCTGTTCTCTCAACACGTCCTGGCTTACCTTGTGATGAAAAACCCTGGGTTTTCGCTATTTATAGTTTATCAACACCTGGACGCATGCGCATTTTATACTTTATCGGGCACTTTAAACCAATTATTGAAAATATTTGGTAAAAAACACGGTCCTTTATGTAATGCTGGCTGATTGGCAACAACTTAATGCAAAAAATATTTATATATATATTTTTATAACTGTTTTTGTTAACATTTTTTGTTTTTTAGTGCAATTGTTTTTTGTTCCTTTCTACCAAATCTTGAGAATAAAATAAAATATTTTTCCGAACCTTGTTGGAACAAAATAGCATATACAACATTTTCTTAGACCTCTCAATTTTATAGTTATACAAAGGAAATTTTACTTGATTTAACAAAAAGTATGCAAAAACTTAAAACAAAACCCCCAAAAATAGATAAAAATTAAGATAAACCTTTTGTATCATTAACAAGATACTTTTTAAAATCAACCAAACTATCCTTTGTACAATTACAATATTGAGAGACCTAAACACGTTGTGTTTATGTCGTTTTGTTCCAATGAGGTTCGGATACCAAGAACAAAAGAAGTTTCCTATGTGTTTTCTAAAACAGTATAGAGAAGAGTATATTTATATATTTCAAATTATAATGTTACCATCCAAAAGATGACCATTAAATTGACGATGTGTAAAATTTTCAGAATGTTTTGATGACTGGTTTAAGAGAAACGCGCGTTCAAAAAGTTCACCATATCGATACCACTCCTTTATTACAATGGCTGTGTCATAACTAGCAATGTCTTTATATATATATATTAAAATGACATATGACAATGACATATGTATATATATAAATAGATATGTGCGATTAAAAAGGGCTGTTCAATAGGCCGTTATTATACAGTATTTAATACAGGTATTATTATTGGTATCTGTATTCTATATTATATTTTCATTTAAATGCTTCACCAAATTACGAAATTTGATAGGATGGCCCAATTCAGGGGCGTTGGTAGAGTCTAAAAGTCCAGGCAAAATTAAGTATACAAGGGAAATATGAGTTAGATGAAGTAAAATGCTATCGTTAGACTTTATTTTTTTCGTATAATTTTGGGGAGGCGATTGCCTCAGCTCATGCATGTAATTAGTGCCCTCATTATGTACAGACCTTATTAGTGCACTTATGTACATATATGCTCTGCCAATTGAGACAGCCCTTACCATTGGACTTTGCTCTTAATTAAAACATCCCGAAAACAAGAAGGACCAAGGTGATAATTTACACATTTTTTTAAAGATTACTTAAAAATAAATATTCTTGCGCTTTTATTTACTACTTTATATGTTTACGTACCTTTTGAACTCGACTTACAGTACATACGCCCTTTGTCTTTGCATCATCCAGTCGCTGCGTTCCGGTATAAAGGTGTTAGTTTATTATCGAAATATGAATACAGAATAAATGCTATTACCTTTACACATTTACAAAACGTGTTGCATTAAAATCCTTGATCCTGTTGTCTAAAACAGATTGGATGCCAGACAAACAATTCAAGTTCAGAATCAAAGGCAACACCTGGTCGGTCCCTGGTTGGATCCTCCCTTCACTTTTACCCGGCTGATTCTATAAATAACGCTACTCAATTCTTATTCATCAACTGAATGATACTTCGCAGATTTTCAATTAATTTGTATTTGTCAATTACAATCCTCCATAAAAGCATTTAATAATTTATTATGCATTCCAATACGCTCAGCTCCTCACATTGGCATCCTTGAACGATCTATAGTTGGTAAAGTCCAGGGTTGTTTGCGTGCGAATTCTGCGAAACAGTTTGTTTGCTTGTTTATTTGTTTCAATCAACAACGGTTTTTGCCAGGTACTGTTCGAATTGTGCTGTCTGGTACCAGGGTGCGTCTTCAGCGTACTCAAAGGGAAACGGCTAACTCAGTATAAATCTTATTTTCGCATTTAACATCTCTCTTATCGGACTACGCTGCTATCGCGTTTGACCAATGATTACGTAAAATCGTTCGATCGTTTTTTCTATGTTGTTTTCTCAATGTGATCTAGTGGTCGTGTATTAATTGCTTAATACTTAAACCGAACGATCAGTGAGTTCACATTTCAGTCATCTATGATTGATTTTATTAGTGCGTGTTTGAATTACGTCGATCGTCCATATTAGACAAGTCCCCAATCTCGATACTCTTTTTCACGTTTTGATGTAGTATTAGATATCAGACTGCCAGATATGAAGTTCAAATACCTGGAATGAAAGAAAATACCTGGAAGCCAGGCTGTTGCGTCCCTAGCCTATATCCAAGCAAATAATTCATTTGTTAATAAATTATAATACCTGTATTAAATTGCACTTGGTGGCCTGCACAGACAACATGTTTCTCTAACTTGATTTTGTATTGAATAAAAACGGATTGCTGCTATAAATATTTATCAAACTAAAAACATTTCCATTTGCATTCGATATCAATTAATTGTTTTTGGTATTGTCAGAGATTTTTTTATATATAAATTACCATATTTTTTTTATTAATCTCTTGGTTGGTTGCCGGTGTATTTTTTGATGTTTAATTTGAGTAATAATAGATCGATTGCACACATATTGCATTAAGCAGATAAATATTGTCGCTCCTGGGCATTACCTAGAGTATCATTCAAGGTCGGGCTTCACAGCATCTATTGAAAGACGTGAAATGACCTATTGGACCGAGAAAGAGTTAAGAGATTAAGTGCAACTTCAACCCTGCACAATGCTGCCATCTATCGCCAGGCATCTGTCTCATTGACTGTATTTATATTATTGACACAGAGGAGAATAACCATGTGTTCTCTATAAGTGAATAATCTGTCGGTATGCTGACTATTTTTACCTATTTTGAAAGTAAATGATAAACAATCTGACGTTTGGTTTGAAATTGAAATTTTGTTATGTTCGACATAATTATAGAATGATATAAGTTCGACATCGTTGGATTTTCCAAATAAATAGTTCATTTCTGATTCGTAATTAAAAATGTATAAAATTGGGTTTCGTTAATATGATAGGACAATTTTATACTTATATAAAGACAGAATCATTGCAGCAACATAGACAGTAAGTAAATAGAAGTTTTGGGTTTTTATTCATTTTCCGTACCGTACTATACTGTACTGTACCTTGACCTCGTTTTTGAAAAATAGGCTAGAAAAATAAGTCTTATTTCTAAAGTTGGCACAATTCACTATATCAAGTATCTTGTTTACCTGGTAGCACTCATCAATTACTTATAACACTAATCGATATCCATCAAATACACCCTGGGACAAACGTTTAAATATGAATATCCAAATTAAAAAAACATTTCCACCTGTCTTTGATCATTGTAGTGATTAATGAAAAACGCTATCAATTACAAAACGCTCTTTTTACGCTCTATGTGGCACTGGTGGTGATTAATAACAATTTGATAATTATCATCTCTTCCGCAAGTACATAGAGATAGATAAGCTTTACACAGTGCATTGGCAATGGCCCTGCTCTACATCTACATGTACAGTGTTAACGGATCTGCACCACCCCGAAAGATGAGTCAATGTGTGTAAAATGTTTGGCCTACAAATGAGCCTTTGTGGACCTAATTTTAAAAGAAAATGGGGCCGTCTTTAGAAATGTAGATCTATTATTATAGGAAAATATACCCGAATCACTGAAAATTGATAATAAATTTACTAAAAAAATTCAGCAAATATATGTTGGCCACTCCCTTTGTCGATTTCCAGATCCCCCTGTTCAGAGATGAAGTTATGAATGCTGTGTTATATGGACAAGCATACTATGACAGTGACATCTAATTATGGATGCTATCATACTCCATGCTAATGGTCGACATCGGCCACTGCTGTAAGAGGATGGAACAAAAGCAATGTAAGAAGAAAAACAAAAAAGCAAGGACGACAATTCACAAATTTTGTGATTAGAAATAAAGCCGCCCTACTGTCTCATTTAGTCTTATTTACCTTGGAATCAAATTTAAACATTTATCTCTTTATATTACTTACTTAATTACTCGTATGCTACAAGTGGAAGTCAACATCCAAACCTCAACAAATTTCCAATAATGGCAAATACCTATTTTGTTTTGTAGATTTTGAGTTGCGGCCTCACTTGATTCAATTATATATATAATTTGATGGAACTTGATCAGATTCTTCAATATGTAAATATATATATTTCCTATCATCTCATTTAATATAGTTGCCCTTTCAAATAAAAAGCATCTTTATTAGTTTGATTAGAATATTCCTTATATGGAATGTAACAAACATTCCTACCGTGCATCAGATCTTTTACATATTATATTCAATGAACCCCGAATGTTAGAATACCCGTTTGCGTCCAGTGTTAATAAAATTGTTTTTTCAAACAAATATTTTGAAAATTCCCGGGTGCGGTGAACACTACTCGTTAGGCGTGTCTTATTTGATGAGTATTACCAGTGATATTTGAAAAGTATTGTTCATGTACCTGGCGATGATGTTAAAACCCGTGCCCTGTAGGCTATGACGGAAAGGGGGATTTTAGATGTGCCCAAGCATTGACTTCCATTGAATGCCCATGGCCCAAGGTCTGAAGAATTTATGACTGACGAACAAACTTGTAAGCGAATATGGGAAAAATTGACCTCATCGAATTCTGTCCCCATTGCATAACAAGCTTCTTACTTGGATACAACCAGACGGACGTATAATACACTCGATACACATACACTCCCCTCCATAATTTTGGCAGCTGGATGTTTTTTTCGACCGCATATCAAAATCTGTAAATATTTGAATCTTTTCGTTCCTTAATTCAAACAGTTCTGAAATTCATGACTAATTTGCTGTGTTTTCTAAATCGTCGAACATCAAAAGGCTTTGATAAGTAATCCAAAATTGGACTTCTTGTTGCCAGATTTATGGAAAGGAGTGTACTTTATGAAGTGGATTTAAGGCAGACTCACCAATTGTACTGTTTACGTAACGTCTTCTCTGTATTATAGGATAACCCAAGGACGAAATGGAATATATATTAAAAGTGTATTACATATTTTGGCGAAAAAGCTTTGAATGCACCTTGAATTAATCTGAACAATACCCGATGTAAATTATATAATACTATGCTCCCAAGGGCATATTGAGTTTTTGTACTTTTATAATGTTTCTAGGGTTAATACGATTAGACTTATGATCAACCTTAACTGATGTTTCACACTCTTGAATAAATACGCAGGGCCATATTTGATAAGGGGAAATATTAAAGTAACACAATGGACATTCAAGTGAAAAGGAATATTCAAGAGAACAATCGGTTAAAAGTGAATAAGTCCCTAGCATCCAAAGTTCAAAATAAAATAATCAACTGAGCTGGTACGTTAGTTCCTCTACGTATTTACGTAATCACAACCATTTCACCACGTTTACTCTTGTTTTGTTCAGTGTAATCAGAATCATAAATGAGAAAAATTAAACTTTTCTTATCCCCCTCCCACCTCGTCCTGATTAGATTAAGTAAAAATTATGACTCTTTATCCAGTATCACATTCATTCAAAAGTCTCAATAAATTATTTTCGGTAAATTAATGTTGATCATATTTTTATTCAATAATTAAAATGTTAGATATATAACGTACTTTTAGCAGCCTAAATAACAAATATCCAGTGGACAATATTACTGCTACATTCAATACGATTTATTGGATATTTGGATTAGTCCTCTAACAATTGTACCAAAATAAGGATCAAGTCAAAGATTAAACTTTTTGTATATAACCGACACAAAAGGCTTCATCCACATGCTCATAAGAATCTTCAAAGCATACAAAGCGCCTCTACTCAAAAATTCACCCTTGAAATGATGTATTCTCATACTTAAATTAATTAAATGAAACAATGTCCACAATGTTCTGTCATTGAATATAATGTGCTTTTGGGCTTCGGATCTGGCTGAATAATATCCCTAAATTCTCATTTATTTGTACATGTTCCTACAAAAAGCAAACCTGGATAGTATTTTCAAAGGCAAATGCACTAGTTATTACCTTGTGTCCAAACGTTACGAAAGTCGTGGATATATCAAACAGGACTTTTTGATCGGAGACAGGATGTTCTTATTTTAAAGATACTTTAAATTGGGAAAGATCTTGCCGATTACGATACCCAAATGGTAAGTTAACAATTATAATTCGTGAGATATAGGAGATACAATTCTAGATTTTTGATTTTGTATAAATGATTTACTAAAAAAACATCCGATGGTTCTGTTATAAGTCATCTACTATAGCTCTACCAGAATACAATGAATAAAGTTGCTTTATACAAAAATAATAATCGAGGAAGTACGAAAAAAGTATTGTTAAATTAAGATAATCTTTAGAATACTTTTAATTTTACAAACGCGTTTCCAATAAATAGGTATCGTAACATATTTTGTAATTTATTCTAAATTCTCATTTCTCTAATTTTATGTTATATTTTGTTTTATAGGGTTAATGAAAGGATTGTCCAAATACTCTTAATGGAGAAAAGAATGGATTCAAGAGGATTGCTTCTGGCGACGATCTTTGTCGCCATTATCAGAAACGGTATGTACACATAACACTAATAAGTTATTCAAAGATGAAATTAAATAAAGTATTACCAGAGGAACCAATGTAATACATTTTTCAAGGGCACACTTTTCTGCATTCCAACAGAAATCACAATAGATTGATTTATTTTATTATGAAACGACAGTTTTGCGTGCATAATGTGTCCCTCTGACTGTTTAAGGTGTCTATCTAGGTCTAATATAATGGGGCATAAGTAAAATCACTGTAATATTGTGTGATACACACTGTGATATATTGTTTTTACCGAGGGTTATATCCTGTATCAAAAATCGAGCATTCAATAACTGATTTATCCTATACTTAGTAGATTATGAGAATTAAATATGCATTGAATGTTAGGTAACCCTAATGTAATAATTACAAACGATAATTACAATCAAAACATGAATATTTTATCTCAATTCAAAGTCCTCAACGATTTTTGTTTTTTTAAACTCAACAGCTTTTAACATTTAACAGTGTATGAAATTAATATTTATCAAAGAGAGCCAAAGTATATTCCCGGGAATTCAAAAAGCATGTAGAAAGAAATTCCCGGGGATTGCTGATGAGCAGGTGATATATATATATCTCCCGCTCACCTCAGCGGGAGATACTGTATATATATATCACCCGCTCACCTCAGATATCGATTATATCCCCGCATGTTATTTACCTATAACACTACTCAGTGAAAGCAAATAAGTGTTAAAAATAGGCATTTTTCATGTAATTGAACATAGCTGAAACAAAACGTATTTTTGCTCAACATTTTATGTATTCTAAAATAGAATGCCCTTATCTGAAGTACGTCAGCATACTTTTTGATCGTTTCGATTGTAAGTAGCGTTGATATCTGGCTCCAAAACTGTGAATTTCGGTGAAATTGTCAATGTAACAGGACAACACGCTTTTAAAAAACATGTCATATCTCAATAATAAAGGGTTGCATCTTTTAATTTTGGTTATGCTGGCATAGAGAACATTCATTCAGAGTGTGATGAGAGCACCGGATTTGATCTCCACCTATTACCGAACATATAGACTCAATAAAGTAAATGTAAAATTTATTCTGTGAAAATCGACATGGTCGTTAAAACACACCCACAGGGCATTAGGGGAATCCGAGAAAAATAGGTTATATGTGGTTAGCAAGTCCTTGATTCAGTTTATCAGACCATCGTATTCCAAATCGTGATAATAATTGTGATTGAATTATAATGAGCATTATCGGAAAAATTCTGAAAATTCACCATTTCTCTTGTGAAAAACGACCAAGATGTAATTCAAACATGGGCAGCATTCTTGTGTAAAGATGGACACTATTCAAGAAAACATTATATCCACTCTATTTAAACGAAAAGAGTTTACGAAATAACCTGCAAGACCCTATCTATGAGCGAATATAGTGTGAAACTGTGACAATCGACATGCGTGAAAATCGACATGGTTATACCATTGGACTCAAAGCAGTAAATTAGTCATTTGTATAAATCACAGATGAATTAATTTGATTTTATATGATTACCAATACTCTGATAACACATTTATAACAGTTTTACGGTAATTTACGCATAACGATCAATTGATAGACATTGAAAAGATAACAGCTAAATAGTTTTCTCTTTGTTCAGTGTACCTTTTCCATTTTATAAGTCTTTACAAAAATACGTTACATGCAAGCAGATGTCAAGTTATTTGGAACTTCCATAAGCATAATTAGCCGAAAAAAATTTACTACAAAAATTACTATGAAGACCATTACAGCCCAAAATGTGTCAACCTCTGTGAAAAGTGTTTCGTTCAGTGCATTCCCGGGGATAGCTGACTGCAATCATAAAGTCTATTAACGTTTGGAATCAGTTTCCCTTTCAATGAATGCATCATTCTCAATGGTGAACAGCATAAACAGGCATCTCTTATTTGTAATATGAAAGATTTTATAGCTTTTCAACGATGTTTATTTGCTTATTATTTTTTAATTACGATCTCGGATCTACTACTCGATACATTATTACAATCTGATGTACACTATTCAGTATCCCTTCGTGAAACGTAATTCTTTGCAAAACATACAAAGAAAAACAAAAAGTAATCAATGCTCGAGAATAAAAAAATCAAAAAATCAAGACATGCAGTGCATAAAATTATGTTCCTAAATCCTAATTGAAAAATATCGCCAATTGAACTAGCATTATAGAAACATAAAGCACGAGATACGCATGCGACGATAGAGGCAACAAAAGCAAGATGATTTTCCCCTCTTCGAAAAGTAAAACCGGGGGTAGATCACTAAAAATATATAGACTTCAAGAGTTTCAAAGAAAAACAAAACATCAGAAGAAACAAGTTTGATAGCGAAAGTTAATTATGAGATGCGAAATCAGAAATCCGAAAAAGGATCGAGTCTGACACGAAAGAAATTTGTTTCTCTAAAGCGGAAATTTTAGCGACTAAAACAAAAATCTCAGAAAAAACCAAAGCATAGTAATAAAAACACTTCCAGTTGCCATGAAAAAGGGTTCTTGTGATAGGAACTTGGAGAGGGAGAGGGGGGGGGTCATCGGCGAAGTGCTCCGCAGATAATGGTGTCAAGAGAAACGTCTTTACACCAGTGCAGATGATTTTTATGATTGAACTATACGTCACCCTTAATGGACTGGACTCGACATCAATATCATGTTTCAATTTATAATGTAGACTCGAGTAGAATAAGGACTGGCTTCTTGATTTGGAATATGTTAAAGGGACATTTCAGATCATATCTCGATAGTTGATGTTTGTACTCCAATATGCCGTAAATGGTTGTCCTGTGATACATGCAGGAAAAACGTCCTGTGATACATGCTGGAAAAACGTCACTACGTCAACCTGCAACTGGTTTAAGCATGCATTAAAAGCTAAACCCAAAGGAAAAAATACTCAAATTGTAAAAACAAGTCAAAGAACCATACCTGGTATATGAGATAAAAAAAAGAAAACATATGCCAAGGGTGTCAAAACATTAATTTGACGACATGGCATCTGTCATCCCATTGTCATTCAATCTAAAAATGTAAATCTTGGTGCGATGTTTTGGTAAAGTTGGTGTGAAAAGAATGTAGAAGAGATGTGTTCAGTGCATATAAACTTTGCGGACGTAATACGTACATGCACATATACTTAGTTATTCTCTTTGACGATATTTTAGAATACAATGTGAAATACGACAGGGTTTTGACGGAAAGTTTTACATAAACGTGGTCATATTTGGATACAAATACACACTGGTTGTTTCTCAGTTCAGCTTGTTAATATCCTACATATCAAAAATGTCGATTCGTGAAGTTAGCGGTCCCTAAAGTAAACTTTCTAACTCATTGTCATTTGTTCCTAATTGTCTTGTGAAAATCGACATGCAGATGAATAGTGAACTAGCCTAATGATCAATTCTTCCCAAATAAAACTGTTACCATTTTCTTATCGTCTTAAGCATCATTTTTCATGATCGCATCAATTCATGTTTCAATAGAGTCGATTTTATCAATTTTATTCAAATGAAAAACAAAGGGGAAGTTAAAAATTGAGAAAAACGATAGGTTTTATTGGTTCATGTTGACAAAGTGATGCACATCAAAAAGAAAAAGCTTGCAGTCCAAATCCATTTGCGATTTTAAAGGACAGTTAAGTACCATGAGGAACGTTCTTGGTTTTTTGAAAATGATGCATTCTAATTTGAATAGCTTGACACATTAATCAGGGGGTCAAGGTGTGAAAATCGACATGTTTGAGACGGACCCTAATTTCAATTTGAAAATTCGCCTATTTTTCCTTGGAGTTTACTTTAATGCCTTGGGTAACGAATGTACAAATGTTTGAAGATATATACTATATATCTATTTGAAAAAAAACATTTTAGGATTTTTTTCACTTTTTAACAAAATTAATTTTACACTTAAGTGGTTTTGAGTGTACTAAGTATGGGATAATGTACTATACGTCCTTTAGCCTGGATCGTCTACCCTATTAGGTAATTGCTGCCTCACCTATTAGCTGTTGTCTCACCTTTTAATTGTTACCTCACCTATTAGCTGTTGCCTCACCTTTTAATTGTTACCTCACCTATTAGCTGTTGCCTCACCTTTTAATTGTTACCTCACCTATTAGCTGTTGCCTCACCTTTTAATTGTTGAATTGAAATCCATGGTTTATAAAAAAGATTGTATTTATCGTACATAGTATTATTTTTTCTCCAGGTTTGGCTGAACAAGCTAATGACTGTAAAGATGACGCGGGGAACGATTGCAAAGGTATGCACAATAAATTGATGTTAATAATTGTTCTCGTAAATATATTCTTAAGTGGGTTTGGTTTGCAGAAGGGGGGTGGCATCATTGTAACTCGTCGGGATTTCTGATGTTCACCTTTTTTACTGCGCTTTCCTGATATTTTGAAAATTAGTGTCTACTTTTGTTGTGGTCTATTTCCATTATCTAGTTCTTGGAGTCGGTCACTCATTTTTCTAATTTTCCTGTATCTCATTATTCTTTTATCTCGTCTCATGGGTTTGGGTATTATTATCAATACACTTTTAGTAAAAATAAAAATGGAATATTATGTGAAAAATGCAAATATTGTTTTTATGTAATTTCCCTTTTCCTACCATTATTTAAAACAGTTCATGGTTTGAGTCCCTGTTTTATAGTGGAGTGTCCAACACCATCAAGCTACATTCCCCATGAGACAGATTGCAGTCGTTTCTACCAGTGTTCTAACAATAAACCACATCTAATGCAATGTGGGCCAGGAACTCATTTCAACCCGAGGTTAAATGTATGTGACTGGCCGGCTAATGCAGGCTGCGTTGTTGGCAATCCATCACTAGATGATACAGTGATGGTAACTGAAGAACACAATCCTGCCAAACTTCGGCTTCGAAGAAGCGGTTCCTCGTCAAGTGGTTCTTCCTCAAAAGGTTCCTCTTCGAGTGGTTCCGATGAAAGTGAAGAATGCGAAGAATATTACTATAACCCCAAGGAGTGTAAAGAGAAGTGTGGTAAGGGGAAAGAGAAGGATATTTGCAAGGACTTTTGTAAACAAGAAGGGAAGAGCAAAGAGAAGAATTGCGAGAAGGACTGTGAAAGTGACTGGAAATCGAAAAGCAAAAGTTGCGAGAAGAACTGTCAGAACACCAGTGGAAAGATGTGTAAATCAACCATGAAAAGTGGCAGTAAATCAGGGAAAAATGGTTCCTCTAAGAGTGGTTCCAGTGGAAGTGGTTCCAATGGCAGTGGGTCAACCATTGGAAGCGGTGGTAAATCAGGCAAAAGTGGTTCCTCTAAGAGTGGTTCCAGTGGAAGTGGTTCCAATGGCAGTGGGTCCTCTTCAAGTGGTTCGGATGAAAGTGCAGAATGCGAGGAATATTATTATAACCTTAATGAGTGTAAGAACAGCTGTGGAAAGGGGAAAAGTTGCGAGAAAACCTGTCAGAACACTAGTGGAAAGATGTGTAAAACAACCAAAGAAAGTGGACCAGAGGCAGACGAAGTGGTAGCGGAAGTTGACATAGTTGACGGTGAGTATTCTAGTTCACAAATGTAAAAAGTTGCCCTGTGTTTAAAGTCCCCGATAAATCGGGCTACGTATACCGCCGTGTTTACATTAGGGAATTAGAAGAGTTTATTTTTTATTTAGGTATGCAAGCTACGTATATCAATATTAGGCCTTCATTCATGTACTCGTGTGCATGTAATCAGCATGCCCTTCAATATTATGTAAACCAGGCTATTCAAGTATAATGTACACTATTTATGTGTGTACTACATACAATACAATTCCCTGGGAAACAAAACACAAATACGTTTTATATGTTCAAAATGAGCCATTTGATTGATGCAAACACTAAATAGCTTTATAAATAACATCTACAAAGTATATCTAATAGTAATTTTCAATTTCAATTTTGAAACTTCCCTGGTTAAGATTATATGGGAAATCATCACGAGACGAAGATCGTTCGCCTTCCTGGCTTACCTCTGAATCGTGTACCGGGCAATCTCTTTATATAGTTTAGCGAGAGCGGTGCGCCTGCGCAGTTTTAAACTTTGGCGCACACTTTAAGTGTAATCTGTCACGCGGGCGTGTCTGTAATACAGAAAGAATTATCAAAGTGTCAAAGATATCTATTTATCCCATTCTTGGACGTGTTTCAGATACATAAAGCAGGTTTTTAAATACTTACGTTTTCATTAGCGGACAGATATGGCTATATGTATGTCTGGCCTGAGCAGATACATTATGTTCGCCTTGGGATAATCCCGATGTCCTGAACCTCATATAGGAGTATCTTGCATCAGTAAATAAACAAACGAATAAATTAAACGTCACGCATCGTTGATTCTACTCGTATATTAATCTGTGCCTTCATTAACATGTTACCTAACCAACAATAAAACAAGCATCTAGTTTTGTTCTTTGTCTTTCTCTTTGGGTCTTTATGAAATATGGATCAATGATATATCACATGGCCTTCATACTTTTCTAGGGATATTTTCGCCGGAAAATCTGGTTCTATATCCATTTTCTAAGTGTAACATTTTTATGTCACCACCAAAAAGTGGTGACATATTGTTATGGTCTCCGTTTTTTTGCGACGGCGGTTGGTGGTTGGCGTCCGGCGTCTGGCGTCCGGCGTCTGGCGTCCGGCGTCTGGCGTCCGGCGTCCGGCGTCTGTAACAATTTCTTACAACTTCCTATAACTTAACAAATACTGTTTAGACTGACTTCAATTTTTTTCTAAATCATCTACATCTTCTCAGAAGTTCAAATCTGACTTTAGATTTGACATTTGACCTTCAATGACCTTCTCAAGGTCAAAAAGGTCTTTTTTCAACTTGCTTCACATTGACTAAATTTTTTTTCAAAATTATCTACATGTTCTCAGAAATTCAAATCTGACTTTAGATTTGACATTTGACCTTCAAATCTGACTTTAGATTTGACATTTGACCTTCAATGACCTTCTCAAGGTCAAAAAGGTCTTTTTTTCAACTTGCTTCACATTGACTAATTTTTTTTTCAAAATCATCTACATGTTCTCAGAAATTCAAATCTGACTTTAGATTTGACATTTGACCTTCAAATCTGACTTTAGATTTGACATTTGACCTTCAATGACCTTCTCAAGGTCAAAAAAGGTCAAAAAGGTCTGTTTTCAACTTGCTTCAAATTGACTAAATTTTTTTTTCAAAATCATCTACGTGTTCTCAGAAATTCAAATCTGACTTAAGATTTGACATTTGACCTTCAATGACCTTCTCAATGTCAAAAAAGTTCAAAAAGGTCTGTTTTCAACTTGCTTCAAATTGACTAAAATTTTTTTTCAAAATCATCTACGTGTTCTCAGAAATTCAAATCTGACTTAAGATTTGACATTTGACCTTCAATGACCTTCTCAAGGTCAAAAAAGGTCAAAAAGGTCTGTTTTCAACTTGCTTCAAATTGACTAAAAAAAATTTTCAAAATCATCTACGTGTTCTCAGAAATTCAAATCTGACTTTAGATTTGACTTAAGATTTGACATTTGACCTTCAATGACCTTCTCAATGTCAAAAAAGGTCAAAAAGGTATTTTTTCATCTTGCTTCAAATTGACTAATTTTTTTTTTTCAAAATCATCTACGTGTTCTCAGAAATTCAAATCTGACTTTAGATTTGACTTAAGATTTGACATTTGACCTTCAATGACCTTCTCAAAGTCAAAAAAGGTCAAAAAGGTCTTTTTTCAACTTGCTTCGAATTGACTAAATTTTTTTTTCAAAATCATCTACATGTTCTCAGAAATTCAAATCTGACTTTAGATTTGACATTTGACCTTCAATGACCTTCTCAATGTAAAAAAAGGTCAAAAAGGTCTTTTTCAACTTGCTTCAAATTGACTAATTTTTTTTTTCAAAATCATCTACATGTTCTCAGAAATTCAAATCTGACTTTAGATTTGACATTTGACCTTTAATGACCTTCTCAAGGTCAAAAAGGTCAAAAAGGTCTGTTTTCAACTTGCTACAAATTGACCAATTTTTTTTTTCAAAATCATCTACATCTTTTCAGAAGTTCAAATTTGACTTTACAAGCTCTCAGAAGTTCAAATCTGACTTTAGATTTGACCTTTGACCTTCAATGACCTTCTCAAGGCCAAAAAGGTCTTTTTTCAACTTGCTTCAAATTGATTAATTTTTTTTTCAAAATCATCTACATGTTCTCAGAAGTTCTTCTTAAGGTCAAAAGGTATTTTCCAACTTGCTTTAAATTGACCAAATTGTTTTAGGTGGTGACATTTTGTCATGTTAATGCCTTGTCTAAGAGATTATAACAGACATCATTACGTCTCTTGCTTGCCACCTTCGTTTGTTCGAATTTCCACCGTCGAGTTTCAAAATACTACGCTTCGATGTGATGTTTTAAATTGCTATAAGCATATTCCGTACACCTTTCTTTATTTTGATATGAAATAATAAGCTTTATGATATTGGCCAGAAATTAACATAATATTATTGGAAGCGTATTTCTAAAATTTTGAGGCTGCCATTTTTGTTTGTCGATTTTGACCAATCAGAGACGCAAGTTCATCTCAATACAGGTTTACAATTATATACAGTAAAATTTTAAATGTTTGGAACTACTTTGAATTTAAAAAATAAGCAATCAAATGACTATATTGCAACAGTATATGAAAAATGGAAACATATGTACAAGTCCCAACTTTTGTATATTTCATATAGATACACTCCCCTCCATAAGTTTGACAACCTTAGCTCCCCCATTGAACTACTTGTTAAAGCCTCTTTGCGTTTGAATTTTTATTTACTTACCCTGCGACGAGATCACGCATTATATTGATGGAAATGTAACTTAAACCTCAATTACAATAGGTCGAAAATCGATGATGAATTTCTGGAAATCGTCATTCCAATGTAAACCAATGTTTATGTTTATCAGGATATCTATTCAGTAAAAGATTCAATATCAATACAATTTTCTCTGTCATGATGTATCGTTTCCACGTTTGATTAATGTTTACTCCAATAAATTACAATTTTAAGCGTTCCATTTGTTAAGGTTCGCCGACGATTTCAGGAAGTAATCCCCTCATATGTTGTGCATATAGACACTTAGTTTTTTGAGAAGTTATTCCAACGATCCTCAATTATTTATTACCGAACATTTTATCAAGAATATAAATGTTTTGTAAGAAATCGCTGTGTATGTGATGCAGTGTGCGATGTGTATCCATTCCCATTATTGCGATATAAAATATACGATATTGGAAATATGATGTGAATATACGTTTGTGTTCCTGAGGTTCCAGATACATAACGTGCAGCAAAATATAGCGTATTTTGGGAGGGGATAGTGCATGACACCTGATTATACAAATACCAAATATGCTAGAATATGAGAAATTTATCCAAATGCATGCACTGTTCCACATCTAGTTACTTTGACGGAACGTCAATGTAACCAAATGGATGAACTTCCTGGATACGAGTTTTTTGTTTTCTCGATTTAAACTTACCTATAAGTTATGTTTTGGATTATCATTTGGCACAAAGTTAGACGTTATAGTCTAGCTTTAAGAAATCCCCTCGGTTCGGAATTTGATTTTTAAATAAAGCTAGAATTCATGCATTTAGACCATCGCTTTTGTTACATTGACGTAAGTCGTCAAAGTAACATACATTGGTAACATAACGGACTTACAAATTGAGGAAACTTATTGAAACTAGACTATATTTTCGGTTCGGAATTTGATTTTTAAATAAAGCTAGAATTCATGCATTTAGACCATCGCTTTTGTTACATTGACGTAAGTCGTCAAAGTAACATACATTGGTAACATAACGGACTTACAAATTGAGGAAACTTATTGAAACTAGACTATATTTTCTAGCTTTGTGCCAAATTATAATCTGCAGCTTGACTTATAAGTAGGTTTAAATCGTGAAAACAGAAAACTCGTAAAGAGGAAGTTCATCCATTTTGTTACATTGACGTTCCGTCAAATTAACTAGTTGTGGAACAGTGAATACCATCTAAACCATTTTTACATTTGGCATACCAATAACAGAGTGTTTTCTATTTTATCCTTTAAAATCATACGAAATTCAATTTGTAAGATTAGTATTATTGAGGTTAAAGAGAGAATTAGAGACAGCGAGCAGTGCAGGCTAAACAAAAAAAATTCAATTTTAGAATATTTCTGCCTCATGTCATTCCTTGTCATGTCTATTTTCTAAAAATTCTCAAAGTGAACACTTTGTTTCAGGAAAACTAGATATTTTTACAATAACATATTATTTTTCTATTAGAATGGTTACCATTCTTATTATTTGGGAGAATTTAAACATTTTTCACCCATTTTTGCACTTTGAATCCATGATAACTTCACCAATTTTAATATATCATGAATCTTTTGGGTGATATTGTATTTCAGAATGTTAGGAATAGATTGGTAGGTCAATTGTACATATTGCTTACAATTTTGTCAGCCCTGTAGATCTGATTCTGCCTTTAATAAACAATATTAATTAAGAAATTTCAAATGTACACGTGTTCGATTGTCGGAAGACTAGAACTGAATAATTTTAATTTTAAACTCTTCATTCTAGATGAAGTGAAGGAGTGTGAGGAATATTGGAATACCAAAGGCGACAAGTGCAGAGAGGATTGTCAACAATTAGGAAATGGAAAAGGAAATGATAAAATGAGGCATATTTGCAAGGACAACTGTGAAAAAGACAAGTATTGCGAAAAGGACTGTGAAAATACATGGAAACCCAGAGAAAAGGAATGCAATAATCTCTGCAAAAAGAAAGGGAAAGACAAAAAAGATTGTGAGGAAGAGTGTGAATACAATTATTGCGAGGAAGATTGTGAAAAATATAATGAAGAAAAGGATAAGCTCTGTTACACAACTGATGAAGACGTAGTAAAAAACGGAAGTAAGCATACAATAATAATATACAGTAAAACCTAAATATCTGAACACCTTATTTGAGCATCTAATCTGATAATACACTTTTTCCTGTTCTCAAATTACACAGATACATGTTAATGAAACTTTGGAATGTGAACACCTGCTAATCTGAACACTTTTGGCTGGTTCCAGAGGCGTATGGATGAGACTGATTTTACTGTACAACTTATCGTATTACGTAATTAAAATACATTTTATTCGCCGATTAACGTATGTCAAATTTGTCAACCATTCATATGTCTGATGTACAGGGTGGGCCGAAAAAACGATCATATTTCGAACTTTTTTGATTATGCATTGACAATTATTACTGGATTCCTCAATATTTTCATGGTCACTGATAATATTGTTTTATGTTGCAGGTCATTGTGGAGCAGACATCGTTGTCATCATAGATACATCGTGTAGTGTGAAAAATAATGACAAAATTACCTCACGTCAATTTGTTGTTGACCTTATTGGAAAGATGGACATCGGCGACGGTCCAAGCCAAACACGAATTGGTGTAATGACATACAATAAGGGAATTACACATCAGTTCCATTTAAAGGACTTCAAGAATAAAGAAGATTTAGAAAAACGGGCGAAAAAGATTAAATTATCTGCAAAAGGATGCAGGTAAAGTATATTAAATTATTATCTCTTTATAATATTACTTCCCCGAAATTAATATCAACGATGGATGTTTTTTATATTGAAAAATATCATTGTCCCTCCCAATCCCTCTAGGAAATAATATTCACTTTCAAAATTCTATCCCGAAAACTTTATTCATCTCCAAGGAGTTTTCAAACATTGCTTTATGTTTCATTAAGTTGGTTTTGAACTAATGTGATTTGGGTCATGGATACCATTAAATCTGGTCGGGATTGAATGCATTGGTAAGTAATCAATGCTTACGAGGTTCTTGGTAACTACGTTAGGGGAAATAAGGAGTGTCTAGGGAGTGGGATGGATATTTTCAGTATATATCCGACTATCGGCCGAAGTCTGAAAAATACAGACTGTATCTATCCCAGTCCGCCTCCGTAATTGAAAACTGATTTTATTTAAAGCCCCATGGTTTATATTGTATGTAGTCATGCCGTTTGTTATCAAAATGTGATGCGTGAAGCTTTTTTAAATATCAAAAAGTGGTATTTTAAAGTCAGAAAAATCGTGAATTAATTTGATACTTACGGAGTGGTCACACGCATCTTTTTATACTTCACACCAATACATAGCATTCATAATGTTTGTTTTTTTAGAAAAAAATGAGAAAATTGGTTGATAAATAGGCAAGAAATGAACTCACCCATGTATGAACGTGGTTCATAGAAAAATGCTTTCAAATATTCCCGTTCCCATAGAAACATATCGTTAAATGTATTTTTTATTTCAACCTTGTTGACGGTTTATGAAATGCATTTAAAAATTCTCGTTCCCATAGAAACCAATCGTAAAATATATTTTTGTTTTCAACCTTGTTAATCAACCTCGACGTTTTATTTTTGAAGTTGAGCATATTTAAAAAGATTGGCTTAGAGAAGTTTTTAAGTATACTTAAGGAATAAAGAATCATATATCATTCTATATTGGAAATATAAATGCAAGATTATATGTACTAACCCATCTCTATAATGTACGAAGGCATTATCATGATGGGTTAAGTATGGGTGTTAGGTTACAATTGATAATCGTTTGAAAACTATTGCCAAGGTTTTGTTTGTCAAAATAATAATGGAAATGAAAATATTAATTGTATGCAGAAAAATTGTGTAAATATATAAGCACAAATGCTAAAGGGAAGGGTGACTAAAAAGTTTAAAGAAATCCAACAAGAAAAGCAAACTGTAAGTGTAAATCTGTCATAAGAAAAGTAGACCCTATATATCCCAAAACCATAATCTAACGTGAAAAGAAACAATGTCTAACATCCCCCTCCCCCCTCCAATCGAGAACCAATATCACAATCCAGGACCAGAACACCAAGGGACATTTCATTCATACTGAAGTCATTACAATACATGTTGAAACTTAGTTGGAAAATCATTGCATTGACTCAAATGAACACACAGATGACATGCTGTATCAAAAATTAAATGCACAGCAAACTCATTTTCATGCATATATCAATAAATCAACACACTGAAATGCTTTAGCCTGATTGGCTGAGACACACTTGGCATGTTTGAATTTGGGTTATGTTCATGTAGGACCCATACACACAAGGCCTTGGAGGAAATGCGAAAGACATACTTCACTGAGAAAAATGGAGATCGACCAGGTGTTCCGAATATCGCCGTTCTCATGACTGACGGTGGCACCTATGAACATAAATATGTTCCTGACACTCTAAGCGAGGCCAGTACATCAAGGAACTTAGGTATAAGTCAAATCGCTCACAACTGAACAAGGAGGATTTGCTCCCAGAGTGCAACATCAATATTCTGTCCCACATATGGAAATGTCGTAATTCAAAATTTTGATTCAAACAGCCGCCATTTTGTTCACTTCAACATTTGAATCGTGAATTTTGGTCTTATTCCTAAACGGAGAATTCCCAAACTCACATGAAATGATCAAGATATTGGTTCAAATCTTTTGGACTGTTTATTTTGAATTTATAGTCAGTAATAATTTCAGAAAATAACGACATTTCAACGTTTTAATTGTTGGAAAATATCGATTGTCGATCCTGGGAGCCAGTCCACCTCGCACCTGAAGTTCTGAACACACTCAAAATTTGTTTTTAGCGTACTTTTTAATTTTATATACGTTTTTCATTCTAAGACCTGCTGTTTCTCCAAATAAAAATAGTAAATGCATAGATTAAGGCTAAATTAAAACAAATTCGTTCAGCAAGAGCGTATTCTGATGACAACGTTCACTATTCTGATTACTGCGTATTCTCATGTCACTGCATGTTGATGTACTAAAATGCAGCATCTCAATGCTGATGTTCAGTATAAAGGACCATGTGTGGTATGGCAAGTGATTTTAGACGGTCATATATTTCACCACGAGTACTTTCTGGCCATATCGGTGATTTAATTAAAACAAAATATTTTCATTCGAGAAAAGTCCTGAAGAAATTTTTTCTGCACTGTATTAACAATTCCTGAAAAGGGGATAGTTTTTGAAATGCGCAAAAGCTAAAAACATGTTATTTTTCGTTGGGAAAACTCATGATATCCATGATTGTTTTTAGCATAATTTTGGTCATCGAAAATTGATATCTTCAAAACTATTAGACCCCTTGTTGAATAATCTTTTCATGCCGCAAAAATTAGAAAAAGAATATCCTCTTTTGAGTAAATGGGGTCCCTATTTATAATTTTTTCGATTTATATTTACATCATCATGGGGACTTCACACAAAAGAAAACATATTGTTTTAATAAAAATCACTGTATTTATGCCAAGGAAGTACTTATGGCGAAAAGATATTGCTATCTAAAATCACTTGCCATACATCACATGGACCTTTGTGAGTAAATAAACCAAGAAAAAAAGGCGTTTATGCAGTTTTATTTTGTTTTCAAAGGAATTGAACTGTTTGTTGTTGGTCTTCCAACAAAGAGCAAGAACAAAGTCACCAGTATGACAGAATGGATGGGGATCGCAAGTAAACCAAAGGATAGACATTTTTACCCTATGGATTCGTTTAGTGAATTGACATCCATTCTTCAAGGTTTCTCGACATCCCTGTGTGAATTTGAAGGTATGAGCTTAAAACCTATACGTTAGTAAAGAATATGAGGACTTCTTTTCAAGTATAACGTCAATATTAGTCTTTGTTATGCATAACATTTTCAACTTGCTACAATTACGGTTGTTAAAGTTGTGATTGTTATAGTTACATGTGCTATTGCAACCATAAGAACTATAAGTATCTTAGATTCATTTTTAGATTCATTTTTAGCTTGGAATAGTTAATGTATATGAGGGCCATACATATCCTGGCTTATCTTTTGAATCTTTTTGAGGCTTTACATTTAAAAATTTAAATTGTTACTCACGGGTTACATCATTGATGACACCAACATTAGTTCTTGAAAAGATTGATTTTGCAAAAGTAAAATTCACTGAACATAAACTTAAATCAATCTCCTTGTACTGTAAGGGATTGGTATTGGTAATGTTAACTTCAAAACAAAAATCGAGTCACATAGCCATTTCTTTGAATGTGTGTATTATAGTGATTGATGATAACAGTACAACTGGTGAAAGTGAAGTAGAGGAATTCGAATGCGATGTATTCTGGGTAGCAAAGGGCAAGAGCTGCAATGAGAATTGCCAATCACAATCGAAAGGGACATGGAAGAAGAGCTGCAAGGAATGGTGTCAGAATGACAAGAATTGCGCAAAGGAATGTGAAAAAGATTGGGCAAAAGATAAAGACAAGCATTGCGATAAGGACTGTGGCAAATACAGTGAAAGAAGCAAGACGTGTAAGGTATCCTTGGAAGAAGAGACGGGACAAGAGGATGATGAACCACCCCCAGATGGTGAGTGTTTTCCACTTTAGAATGGGAAAGTTTAATTTATATCTAGTGACACATAATTTGCAAATAGCAATGTTCAATAAGACGAATGAGGATTATCATCATTCTTATTAGTCAATGTACCTGCGATTGCATCAAATTGATCAAAAGTCAACAATCCATGTTTGAAAGTGGCATTTGCAAGCTGACGAAATCAATTGATAGAAATGTCAATGTAATATCGTACATAGTGCTCGTGATAACATGTTTCAAAGATCTTCATTGCATCTTACTAGCTAAAGAAAACAATGCATTTTTACATATTGCAATTACTTCCCTCTTTCAAACTATGACTTGATCATCTTTGTAAAAGTCGATTCCAAATGAAAAATCAATATGAGATGCATCATCAATAAACATCATTATTGTTAAAATGAATGTGCTTTTGTCATTTATTAAACATTCATACGTGTATCATTCTGATTACGTACCATTATAGGCATACTTGATGTTTGATTCATTTTTGACTTTGTATATGTTTCAAATGTTATATAATGGAGTTTCCCAGTAGTGATGATGTCTCACAATTTGCTACATTACCTTTGCTATTATAGAATACATGAAGTTAATTTTTGGATCTTCTTTTAGATTTTTGTCCAGAACCGTCAAGCTACGTTCCCCATGATACAGACTGTTCGCTTTACTACCAGTGCGTTGAATCAATTCCAAGTTTAATGGAATGTGGGCCGGGTACTCATTTCAACACCAAGTTGAATATATGTGACTTGCCCGAAAGTGCAGGTTGCATTGTCATTGAAGTAACAGAGCCTGAAGAAAAAAGTGGGTCTTCAGACGGTGAGTATTATAGGTCACGAATGTCAGTATATGGCTTTGAAAGATCATAATGTTGAAATGGTGTATCCTATCATTTTAAATGTATACTCGAAGACATAACAGCCCATTTTTAAATATTCAATCAAACTTTTTGTTTTGCATGTCAAATTATACTAAGCTTAAACTCCAGTAGTTATCAGAATTAAAACAACATGAAAGTTATTTTCAAAACAATATTTCATGTTTTTGACTCCTCTGGAGTAATCAATATCAATCGTTAGAGAATTTGCATCACACGAGTTAGTTCGACATTGTCTTCTCGAAACAGTTACATCATTCACTGAAACATCGGGATGGTATCTCAGTCCAGTTGTGGGTCTTGTATACTTATAGTCAAATATCTAATATCATAGAGAATTCTAGAACTCTTGATATATTGCATAACGCTTATTGAGGGAAATCTCGATCTGAATTGTGCTAAGAATTCCTGCTAACTTTACAATTAACTTTTTCAGCAAAAATAACTTCTAAAAATTGACAGGTACACTTGAATTTTGACCAATCTACATAGAATATGGACCTGTAAACTTGTCAACTTTGTATATTTGGTCTCTATCTATGTTTACATGTCGCACGAAACTGGGGACAATTAGCGCAACATTATGGCGTCAAAATACCAATGAAGCAAAACAATTGTATGGTGCAAATAGCCTTCTAACGTTAATTAAGTGTTATATTTTTGTCAAGTCTAGTCAACTTAAAAATGCTTTATCCGTATTCAATCCAAATAAGATTCACCGAGTAACAGGATTTCGGGGACAGCATTTCTTAAATGTTTTTATTCATGAAAAAGATCAGAAAATTTACTCGAAGCGTTTGTAAAAGTTGATATACATAGAATTTGAGGTGAAGAATGGATGCGTTACATTTTTATAAAGTCCTGTTAATCAGCTCTTATTTCATCCCCTGGTATGAGTGTGGACAATTTTTTAAGCTCTGATGAAATGAGTGGACAAAGCCCAGCAAAATGGAGGTCTTGGAGGGAAGGCATGGTTATATTTTATATTTGAACACTTTGTAATGCCGATATTTGGTCAAATGTTTGGATGGTGTGTCAATGAACACCTATAGCTTCAATGAAACCCTAAACATGGTCAACTTATATTGTAATTATTATGAAATTGAAAATTAAATGCGACTTTACAAAAGATTTGAGATAATTTTCGGTATTTTTTGGAATTCTCCTTCTTCCCTAGTGTTTAAGGCAAGTAAAGAGCTCTTAGGAACGTCCCATGATGCTACCTGTAATAACCCATCGCTTATATTCCCAAATATATGTAACTGTTGGAATTTATGAGTGATTTGTCGATATTTTTCGCGTATGGACAATGTTTGGATGTAAACATATGCTAGTGCATCCATATATAAATCATACATCTCAGCAGCAGTGATTCTACGAAAGGTCCTTACATCGAGGGCTGGTATTTTGACACACAATTAGGATACAATATATTCATATTTAGGGATGAGGACGCACAGATAATGTTTCGCATACTTTTAAAATTCCTTTTACTTTTCTATATAATTCTTTAGACATGCTGTATGAAAATACAATAAACGAATTAATTTATGATATCTGTGTGGACTTCATCCTTTGAAATCTCCAAAATAACATGTACATGACTGTGTATTATGTTAGTTTATCGAGGGAATATAACCCAAAATTATTATCTTTAAAATTAAATCACCATGGATGTCATGTCAAAAACATCTGATATTTGTCACCCAAAATACAAAGGAGGTAATCATGCACAAATGCCGACGTGACTTCAACAATGTCCTTAGAACCAATGAGTTTTCTTTCATGGAAAATAATGAGATAAGATTATCGGTCAAAACTGCCATGGTGACATGACTTAAAAAACTACACGAAAATAACAACAATTCAGATGAACAGTTCCTCTTCGAAATACTTTTGGGTTTATGCGCAATTTTTTTGTTCTTACGAATAGTTTACTCTCATTTGGTTGTGGTTATAGCGAATTTACTTGCTTAGTGCGTTAGGAATATACAAATAATATTGTTTTAATTAGCGAGGTATCAATACGATACCATTTTGCTGGGCTTTGTCCACACATTTCATCAGAGCTTCGAAAAATTGTCCACACTCATACCAGGGGGTGTATTTTGATACTATTTGTAGAGTACATGAACCGATTAATAATTCTAAATAGATTCATCTGCTCCGTCCTACTTAGTCAAATATTATATTTTATTTTTGTCTTAACCATACCTCTGTTTTACTTTACTTTAATATCATACGATTTTAAAAGAGTATTGATCGATGTAAGATTAATATTATTGAGGTAAATAAACAATATTAATTAAGAAGTCGGGAGACTAGAATTGAATGATTTTTAAACTCTTCTTTACTTTACTTCTAGATGAAGTGACGGAGTGTGAGGAATATTGGAATATCAAAGGCGACAAGTGCAGAGAGGATTGTCAACAATTAGGAAGTGGGAAAGGAAATGATAAAATGAGGCATATTTGCAAAGACAACTGTGAGAAAGACAAGGATTGCGAAAAGGACTGTGAAGATACATGGAAGTCTAGAGAAAAGGAATGCAAAGATCTCTGCAAACAGAAAGGGAAAGACAAAAATGATTGTGAAGAAGAGTGTGAATACAATTATTGCGAGGAAGATTGTGAAATATATAATGAAGAAAGGGATAAGATCTGTTACTCAACTGATGAAGACGTAGTAAGAAACGGAAGTAAGCATATTCTTATGTGATATTCATAGAATTCTAGGATACAAGAAGCAATGATATTTAGACAAAAATAAGTTAAAAAGTTATAGAAATAAAATATTATAGAAATGATAAAATAATTCTGCAACTTCAAAAGCTGCTTTTCAAAAAATTGTATCGCCTTTCTTGCTTCAAGAAAATATAAGGAAAACTTACATTGTTTGATACATGACAAGAAATTTCAACGTTTAATCATTTCATGAAAGGACGTGTCCGGGTATATGCCCTTTTGGTCCCTCAGTCAAATGTATGTGAAATATGGTTTTTATTACTGTCCTAGTTATATTTGATAAGTATATTTACTTTTTCACGAGTTTTGATGCATAGTTAACCCCCTGCTGAGAGTCAGAATAAGTATCTTAACAAACAAAAAATAGTCATTATCATAGAAAAAAAACGCCAATGGCAACATGTATGACTTACAAAGAAGAAATAACTTAAGACCCATGAAGAATTTAAAAGAAAATCATATTTTTGAAATATATTTTAGGATTAAATTTTTTTTCAAATTTTTGAATTTCCCGCCAGTTTAATTTGAAGGGGGCAAAACAAGATGGCTCCCATTTGATGTAAGAAAAATCAAAAAAAAGTTGCTTGACTTTTAGTTTTCACAATGAGCACAGTTTTCTGGTTTAGATTTTTTGACTGATTCTGACTCTTCATCACCAGGGTCATGTATAGAGATTATAAAATTGAAACCAAAATGTTGTGCTCAGCATGAATTTGACTGAAATATGTGTAACTTCACTAACACAATTGAAGTCTCAAAACTGGGAGCTCAGTAACTTTGAGTGACTATAATCCCTTGATTACCCAGATAAACACCAATTCACTTATCCAGAAATACCATGCAATGTCTATACAAAGAAAGTAAGCAATGTTTTGGAGGATATGTTTCAAACCTTTTGTATAAATAATTCATTTAATATTTGCCATTGATTTTTTTTCAATTCTGACAAAATGATATGCACTGTCTTTGATGCCAAAATTCTTCATTAATTGAGATACAATTTGACGTTTTTGTACTCTCAGAAGATGGATAAGATATTGAAGTTTAATAATATGTGTGATTTAGTTGGTTTTTCAGACATTACAATTTTCAATATTTTCTAAGTCGATACCCAGACTCATTCCCAGACTCATCCTTTGGTTCCTATCTTCTTTTTTAATGAGAATACAGTGCGTATAAAAAAACGCAACAGATCGTTATCTCGGGAAAGCATTTAACGAGTGATAACAATATTGATTTCATTCAATGTACCATGAAGCAATGTGTCTCCTCTTTACAATGGTATATCATTCGTTGATATTGGGTCATGGTTGGGCCAGTAATCATTCCTTTTGCAAAGTGGGCCACAATTAGCTTGGGACCAATTTATAAACATCGCAAAAGTCAGTGTACGGGATGTAATGCAATATTGGAAGAAAACATAAAACCAATGACTGCATCCTTTTCATTCTAAATGTACTAAAAAGCCAATCTGCTTCTTTGCAATGGAGTGTCATTCATTCACGGAGTGTCATGGCATGCCGAATAAGCATTCATTTCGCAAAATTCAGCTTGGACCCAAGTTTTAAACATTGCAAAAGACGTGCATGGGGCATAAGGGCTATTGAAAGAAGGTGTTACATGTGTGGCATAGACAGTTAAGTGTTCATACTCATACTCTTGCAAGAATACATCTCCACCAAATTGTCACCACATAAAGATGCGCTCATCTTCTCACGTCACGCATGGTTCAGCCCTGACTCATATGTGGGTTGAAGCAGAGAAAAGCAGCCCATGGGCAATTCTTTCTCGAAGTTCTGCAATATCTGGTACTGGAATTGTGAGCGCAGATGCTCCTGAGATAGCTCCAAAAGAAAAAGTCACAACAATTCAAGTCAGAAGAGCGTTCATTTCCACTTAGCCCTTGCACTGATTTTTGCAATATCTGAAACTTGGCCCAGGGCCTGTTTGACCCACTGTGCAAATGGAAGGAATTTTCACCCAACCATGACCAGACCACATGTGAATGAATGTCATATCATTGCAAAGAGGAGAGACGTGGCTTTATTGTACATTGAATGAAATTGATGTAGTCATCACTAGTTTTATGATTTTACGAGATAACTACTTGTAGCATTTTTTTGATACGCCCTGTATATGAGTGTCCAATTTTTTGCCCAACCTGTATATTGCCTGATGGGGTAATAGAGGATATAATGATATACGTATAACTTTATGTTGCAGGTCATTGTGGAGCAGACATTGTTGTCATCATAGATACATCATGTAGTGTGAAACATTCTGACAGAATTATTGCTCGTCAATTTGTTGTTGACCTTATTGGAAAGATGGACATCGGCGATAGCCCGAGTCAAACACAAATTGGTGTAATGACATACAATAAGGGAGTCACACATCAGTTCTATTTAAATGAATTCAAGACCCAAGCAGAATTAGAAAAACAGGCGAAAAAGATTAGTTTAAATGCAAAGGGATGCAGGTAAAGTATAAAACGAAAAGCGTGAACATTATTGAGCCAAAGTAAAATACCCTTTCCGTATGAATGATCACAACGGATGATTAGAAATATGACTATTTAAAATTCCTAGAATGACATTTATATCATGCATGATTTTGTGTAGGATCTATCCAACGACATTGTGATTTAATATAATGTTGAACATTTGTTGTAAACGAACGTAATTGAAAGTATATATGCAATTGATATGCTATACTATTGGTATAATTTAACGCACATGTAGGACCCATACACACACGGCATTGCAGAAAATGCGAACGGCATACTTTACTGAGAAAAATGGAGATCGACAGGGTGTTCCTAATATCGGCATTCTAATGACTGACGGTGGCACCTATGAAAAGCAATACAGATCAAATACTCAAAGCGAGGCCATTGAATCCAGGCAAACAGGTATGTCATGATTCAAGTCAAATCTCTTTAATCTGAACACAATCAAAATTTTCCTATAAGATACAATGTCATTTACGTATATTCGTTTTCCGTCTAATTAAGGGATTGCTTTACTACTAAAAGCTGCACCAATATACCATAGTAGCAAATATATGAGATGAATTCCTTTTAGGTTTGATCAAAATTGAAACGATGTTATAGATTTGTGAGCAAATCAATAAATAAAAATGACGTTTTGTTTTGTTTTGTTTTTTAAAGGCATTGAAATGTTTGTCGTTGGCCTACCAGCCAGAAGCAAGAACAAACTCAGAAGTATGACAGAGTGGATGGGGATCGCAAGTCAACCTAAAGCTAGACATTTTTACCCTATGGATTCATTTAGTGATTTAACGTCCATTCTTCACGGCTTCTCAACATCTCTGTGTGAATTTGAAGGTTTGTGTTAAGAGGGTTTAAGGAAAACGCTAAATCTTCATTATATGAAAGTTGGCAGTTCATCAGACTACATCCAAAGATTATATATTGCATGAAACTATCAACTATTTTAACTTCCTTTTACATGATTTTAATAAATATTCAAAATAAATACAAATAAATCATTTGAGAGAAACAAAGAAAAACTAATGTAATCTAACCCGCATATTCACGTCTCTGAATGTTTGTATCACAGTAATTGAGGATAGCAGTGCAATTGTCGAAGATGAAGCAGAGGAATTCGAATGCGATGTATTCTGGGCAGCGAAGGGCAAGAGTTGCAACGAGAACTGTAAGAAACAAGGGAAGGGCACTTGGAAGCAGACCTGTAAGAAATGGTGTCAGAATGACAAAAATTGCAATAAGGAATGTGAAAATGATTGGGCAAAAGACAAAGACAAGTATTGCGGAAAGGACTGTGGCAAATACAGTGAAAGAAGCAAGACGTGTAAGTTATCCTTGGAAGAAGAGACAGACGAAGAGGAAGATGAACCACCCCCGGATGGTGAGTGTACATTTACCAATTTATAATTTGAAAGTTTTGTCTATCATGACTAATGACACATATAGGCTGCACAATTCGCAATATCCTCATTCAAATTGACTTTCTTGTATCAAACATGTTGATATAAATTTATACTTGTATAAAGCTTAAGAAATACTTTTTGGGCTTTGCTGAAAAATTCAAATCATTAATATCAAAGTTTCAAGTTTTACCACTTGAGATGCTGAAGGATGTAGGAATTGTTTAATACATTGGCGCTGAACTCACAATATTTTCACTTGGCACCTTTTGAGGTGGATCCCGGCTATGGCATTAATGGTTGAGAAATAGGGATCGAAACCAGCCATAGTTTTCACCTGATGACCATTGTGAATTATTGTGTTTTATGGATTATGACAACGGCTTTTGTGAATGGATGTTGAAACGCCTATGGACTTGGAGACTGGATTTTATCTATACCACATCATTTGAGACTGAATGCTCTATCTTGTATGAGTACTTGTATCTACAACTATTTTTGAGGTTATGAGTATTGGTTATCAATTTCTAATTTTTTCTTCAACATGTATTGTAATGACTTCAGTATGAATGAAATGTCCCTTGGTCTTCTAGTCTTAGATTGTGATATTGGTTCTTGAATGGTGGGGGAAAGGGGGTATTAGACATTGTTTCTTTTCACGTTAGACCATAGTTTTGGGCTATATGGGGTTTGTTTTTCTTGACTGGTATGCACTTAGAGTTTGCTTTTTCTTGCTTAGTTCCATTACAACTTTTGGTCCTTTCCCTTTGGCACTTGCGCTTATATATTTGTATTATACGTGTATGATTATCGTAATGTATCACTATTTGAATACTGTGTCATATTTGTATTTCATTTGAGTTTCAAACTTTATAATAGGATTTCATAATGTATACCTCATTAACCTCTCCGTCCACCTTTAGTTTAACTAAATAAAACTAGGATCCCAAGCAGTAACGGTGACTCACAATTACACTTACACTACCTTTGTTGTTTACAGAATATAAGCATTTCGGATTTTCTTTTCAGACTTTTGCCCAGAACCGTCAAGCTACATTCCCCATGAAACAGATTGTTCTCTTTACTACCAGTGCATTGATTCTGTACCAAGTTTGATGGACTGTGGGCCGGGTACTCATTTCAACACCAAGTTGAATATATGTGACTGGCCTGAGAGTGCAGGTTGCATTTTCAGTGAAGTAACAGAGCCTGAAGAAAAAAGTGAGTCCTCCTCAAGTGGTTCCAATGGCAGTGGGTCCTCTTCAAGTGGTTCGGATGAAAGTGAGGAATGCAAGGAATATCATTATAACCTTAATGAGTGTAAGAAGAGCTGTGAGAAGGGAAATGCTAAATCAAATGCCAAAAGCTGCGAGAAGACCTGTCAGAACACCAGTGGAAAGATGTGTAAATCAACCATGAAAAGTGGCAGTAAATCAGGCAAAAGTGGTTCCTCTAAGAGTGGTTCTAGTGGAAGTGGTTCCGACGGCAGTGTGTCAACCATTGGAAGCGATGGTAAATCAGGCAAAAGCGGTTCATCTAAGAGTGGTTCCAGTGGAAGTGGTTTAAACGGCAGTGGGTCCTCTTCAAGTGGTTCGGATGAAATTGAGGAATGCAAGGAATATCATTATAACCTTAATGAGTGTAAGAAGAGCTGTGGAAAGGGAAATGCGAAATCAAATGCCAAAAGTTGCGAGAAGAACTGTCAGAACACTAGTGGCAAGATGTGTAAAACTATCAAAGAAAGTGGGACCGAGGCAGTCGAAGTGGTAGAGGAAGATGCTACAATTGATGGTGGGTATTATTGCTCAAGAATATCAAAAAATTATCCTTAAAAGATCATAATTTAAAATGGTGTATTGTTTCCATAATGATTATTTTGAAAGCAGACATCCTTTTTCAAGCCGTCATTACTTTCATTACCTAATGATTTGTATTCCTCCAAGTCTAAAGCATGATCAACAATGAAATACATTCAGTCAGAGCGGGCATGGGTTATGTGTCTACTGTAAAAGCACATGTGATATTGGATGTTTGAGACACTGTTTATAGCCTACTAGATGGATTATACCTGATTTCTAGGAGGGGATAGATCTTTAGGGGACAATAAGGGGTCCTATTTTTCATAAAAAAAGTCCTGCTCAATTAAAAGCCTTTGCAGGCCCGGGGGCTACACAATGAGAAGTGATGGTTGCTATTGAAATAAACATTATTTTATTCCTTATGATCGGAAAAATGAATGAGGAAGCTGATTTCTGGAAGAAAAATTCAACAAAACTGCACGATTTATTTTTCTAAGAGAATGTTTACCAATAAGTCCTTAAATATATAGGTGTATGTTATATGTGATACACTTCTTATCACATGTTAATCTGTTTATTACTCATTTTGAATATTTATCCCCCTTAAAAAAATTGACCATAGTTCATTCATGGAATTCTTGAAACTCACTTGAATTTTTAAAGAAATCCAGCTTTTTGACAGATGAGCTACAGACTTTCAGTGTTATTGTAAAATTTATCTTGAAAAAATAAATCTTGACTCTTTGAATTTTCTAGCAGAAAGTGACTTCTCCCCCTCCACCTCCTTTCTTTTTATTTTCCGATGGTAGGGGCCCTTGAGAAAAAAGCCATGGTAACCATGGTATTCCATGGTGCGCCCATGGTAATCCATGGTTTTCCATGGAAATTCATGGTTTTCCATGTTATTTTCCATGGAAATTCATGGACGCCCATGGTAATCTTCCATGGATATTTACCATGATTTTCCGTGGTAATTGTTGGTTTGGTAATTGGTTTTTAATGGATGTGTCATGGAGATGTAAAATCAACAATTTTGGTAGGATTTGTATTTACCAAAATCTCCAAAATGAATGTTTTGATGATATATCCCAGTTAGACTGAGACTTATCATTGAGAAAAAAGGGTGGACATTTCATTTTGAATGTATAGCAAGAACATTCATCGAATGTTAGACTCAGCTTACAAATGAGAAAATATGTGAAACAGCAGAGCAGAGAGTAGGCCACAAGATTTCAAAAACAATTGTGCAAAGGTCTTTTGTGTAGATCAAGACTAGATAGAGATTGCTTATTTTTTAGGCCAAACACTTCTTTCCTTTGAAAAAGATTAAGTCAAACTAGCCCAAGCTCTGTTTTATTTCAATACTTTCTTTAATTTTCAGTTTTAAAAATCAATATGAAGTAATTTAAGAAATAAATAACTCATTTTCTTAAATTACATTTCGTACATTTGAGAATACAATCAAAAACCATGGTTTCTTTCTTTGAAGTTGAGAAAAACTGCAATCAAAAGCCATGGAAGACGGTTGATTGCAATCGAAAGCCATGCTTTTCCATGGTTATTTCTTTGATGTTTTGGAAAGTGCAATCAAAAGCCATGGTTTTCCATGATTATTCTTTTGATCTTTTGAAAGTCCATGGTTTTCCATGGGCTATTTGTTTGGTCTTTTGGAAGCAGAAAAATGAATAATACATTATGTTTCTAAATGAACTTCTCCAAATTAAGTCCCATTCAACTTTTATAAGCATATTATCTGAAAAAATCCACAGAAAAGTATATACTTTTACAGAATTTTGACTTGAAATTGAGATGGGGGATTAAACACAAGCCTATGGCTGCAAACTGAAATGTTATACCTAAGTGATAAAAATTCAATTTGTCTATGTAAGAATATTATATTTAAAAAGAAGTTGCATGAAGGAAGGGGAGGGGGTTAACAACACCATTTGGCTTAAAACATGAAACATAGTATAAGTAATTAAAATTGATTTGTCTTTGAATAGGAATAAATAATCATTTGCATAAATATTTGGTTGCCATTATTCTATGTTAATTAGGTGTCTTAACTCTCAAATTAATGTCAAAAGATTAATCTCTTTACAACAGATTATAAGAGTTCATTTGCATAATTCTTAAATATTCTGATCTTAATTGTTATTATATATGATAATCTTACTCTTTCTAATGCTCCCTCTTCAGTAATTATTATTGTCTGTGAGTGTAGACAGTGCAAGTCAAAAACTCATTGTTGATCAAATAAAACCAAATAGGATTTACTCCAAGTAAAAATGTTTATTCAGTCTGCAATAAGGGAATCCAATGAGCTGATTTTATCACTTATTTTGTCTTTTTTTACATAAGTGCCAAAGTTAAATGATAGCAAATCCCAGCAAACAAATTATTACTTTTAATTGTGGGGTCAAATCATCAATTAAAAAAATATTAAGTAAACAGTTCTTTGTCATATGACACTATGTACAGAATGTACTAAACATATATTCAGATTGTAAAAACATGGATGTATTTCAGGCCTGAAACCAGATTTTGTGAAGAAGGTTGACTTTCTCAAAGATTTTGGGGTGGGGGGGGTGTCATATTCTTTTATCTATGATTAATGAGACTAATTCTCAATCCAGCTTGGATTCATTTGTTAAAATATTGATTCAATTTTGAAGATTTTGGTAAAAACAAAACCTGCCAAAATTGTTGATTTTACAACTCAAGTGTCATGGTAAAAACATGGCATGTTCATGAAAAAACAATTACCAAACCACCAATTACCACGGAAAATCATGGTAAATATCCATGGAAGATTACCATGGGTATCCATGAATTTCCATGGAAAATACCATGAAAAACCATGAATTTCCATGGAAAACCATGGATTACCATGGACGCACCATGGAATACCATGGTTACCATGGCTTTTTTCCTAAGGGGGGTTTCCTTAAAAAGATCCGGACGTCCAAAAGCACAATTAGAGTAACCCCTCTGGTATTTTTGTGTTATATTATGTAAAACAAGTATTTTTATCGACTCACCAATGTTGGGGCTTCAGACAATTCGTTAACGGTATCAATTTGATGATTGTTCTCAGCTAGCCAGAAATTCATCCTGCATCAACTTTTAATGTTCGAAACAAAATTGAAATAGCCCGCTTCAATGTGCTCCGAATCTTCCGATCTGTGATTGGCTGCCTGGGCTCAATATCCCGGCAACCGATTGTATTTGCCAAGACTGACGACGGGAAGTTCGATGCCCAATAAAACATCGTTATTTATTAAATCTGATAAAAAATCTTCCGAAAATATACATTTCAACAATAACAGTCATATATATTGATCATTTTGAAATAAAAGAAGCGCACTTATATAACTTTTTCAATTATTAAAATTGCTGTAAAATTTGGAAAGTTATATGCAGTGATTGGTTGCGGAGTGGGTAGCGCGTCGGACTTCTCCCCTTAAGTTTTGTCCAAAAGGTTGGGCTTCGATTCCCGGCTTGGGCAATTTGTTTTTCCTTTTTTTCATCACAACACATTTTTATCCTTTGGGAATGTTATTTCAATCATTTTACAATATAAATTCATCTTAAAAACTGTATGTTGTTTTAGACTTATTGTGTTCTAAACATTTGGTTGTTCTTTGGTTCTCCTGTTGATTTTCTCATGATATGGTCTCAAAATATATCTAAGGCATATATGATGTTATATGAGCAGTTATATTAGGACATAACTGGTTGTCCGGGAGAAAGATCCGGACGATCTAATCCATTTAACGTTCTTTAAACAGAGACCGAGCACACAGAGTTTACAGGCCCCTACTCGATGTAGAGTGGTTAAATTCAAGGAGGCAAATGTTCCCCAAGAATGTTTAAAGTAAATTTAATTGAAGATGTGACCAGTTGGTCCCGAGCGTTAAAAAGTTAATCATTTGGTAAGTTTTAATGAAATCTTAATGCAATAAACGTTAACATCTCGGGAACTTTACAACTGAATTTTTTCTAATTAATCATTATAGAAGAAGTGAGGAAGTGCGAGGAATATTTGAATATGGAAGGCGAGAAGTGCAGGGAGGATTGTAAACAAAATGGAAATGGAAAAGGGAATGATAAAATGAGGCATATTTGCAAGGACAACTGCGAGAAAGACAAGGATTGCGAAAAGGACTGTGAAGATACATGGAAGTCTAGAGAAAAGGAATGCAAAGATCTCTGCAAACAGAAAGGGAAAGACAAAAATGATTGTGAAGAAGAATGTGAATACAATTATTGCGAGGAAGATTGTGAAATATATAATGAAGAAAAGGATAAGATTTGTTACACAACTGATGAAGACGTAGTAGGAAACGGAAGTAAGCATATTCTTATGTGGTAGTGATATTCATAGAATTCTAGGATACAAGAAGCAATGATAGCTAGACGAGATTAAGTTAAAAATTTAGAAATAAAAGATTATAGAAATAATGAAATTATTCTGCAACTTTAAAAGCTGCTTTTCAAAAAATTGTATCGCCTTTCTTGCTTAAGGAAAATATAAGGAGAACTTACATTGTTTGATACATGAACAGAAATTCCAACGTTTCAATCAGTTCATGACATTTGGTTCCTATCTTCTCTTTTAATGAGAATACAGTGCGTATAAAAAACGCAAAAGATTGTTATCTCGGGAAAGCATAAAACAAGTGATAACAATATTTTGATTTCATTCAATGTACCATGAAGCCATGTGTCTCCTCTTTACAATGGTATATCATTCGTTGATATTGGGTCATGATTGGGCGAGTAATCATTCCTTTTGCAAAGTAGGCCACAAATAGGTTGGGACCAATTTATAAACATCGCAAAAGTCAGTGTACGGGGTGCAATGCAATATTGGAAGGAAACATTAAACCAATGATGACTGCATCCTTTTCATTCAATGTACTAAAAAGCCCAAAATCTTCTTCTTTGCAATGGAATGTCATTCATTCACGGAGAGTCGAATAAGCATTCATTTCGCAAAGTGGGGCAAAATTCAGCTTGAACCCAAGTCTCAAACATTGCAAAAGACATGCATGGGGCATAAAGGCTATTGAAAAAAGATGTGACAGTTGTGGCATAGACAGTTCAGTGTTCATACTCATACTCTTGCAAGAATACATCCTATCTCCTCCAAATTGTCAACACATAAAGATGCGTTCGTCTTTCCACGTCATGCATGGTTCAGCCCTGAGTCATCAGTAGGTTAAAGCAGAGAAAAGCAGCCCATTGGCAATTCTTTCTCGAAGTTTTGCAATATCTGGTGGAGGAATTGTGAGCACAGATGCTCCTGAGATAGCTCCAAAAGAAAAGGTCACAACAATTCAAGTCAGAAGAGCTTTCATTTGCACTTAGCCCTTGCACTGATTTTTGCAATATCTGAAACTTGGCCCAGGGCCTATTTGACCCACTGTGCAAATGGAAGGAATTTTCACCCAACCATGACCAGACCACATGTGAATGAATGTCATATCATTGCAAAGAGGAGAGACGTGGCTTTAATCGTACATTGGATGAAATTGATGTAGTCATCACTAGTTTTGTGATTTTACTAGATAACTACTTGTAGCATTTTTTGATACGCCCTGTATATGAGAGTGTCCCATTTTTGCCCATCCTGTATATTGTCTGATGGGGTAATATAGGATATAATGATATACGTATAACCTTATGTTGCAGGTTATTGTGGAGCAGACATTGTTGTCATCATAGATACATCGTGTAGTGTGAAACATTCTGACAGAATTATTGCTCGTCAATTTGTTGTTGACCTTATTGGAAAGATGGACATCGGCGATGGCCCAAGCCAAACACAAATTGGTGTAATGACATACAATAAGGGAGTCACACATCAGTTCTATTTAAATGAATTCAAGACCCAAGCAGAATTAGAAAAACAGGCGAAAAAGATTAGTTTAAATGCAAAGGGATGCAGGTAAAGTATAAAACGAAAAGCGTGAACATTATTAAGCCAAAGTAAAATACCCTTTCTGTATGAATGATCACAACGGATAATTAGAAATATGACTATTTAAAATTCCTAAATTGACATTTATCTCATGCATGATTTTGTGTAGGATCTATCCAACGACAGACTCCATTGTGATTTAAAATGTTAATGTTGAACATTTGTTGTAAACGAACGTAATTGAAAGTATATATGCAATTGATATGCTATACAATTGGTATAATTTTACGCACATGTAGGACCCATACACACACGGCATTGCAGAAAATGCGATCGGCATACTTTACTGAGAAAAATGGAGATCGACAGGGTGTTCCTAATATCGGCATTCTAATGACTGACGGTGGCACCTATGAAAAGCAATACAGATCAAATACTCAAAGCGAGGCCATTGAATCCAGGCAAACAGGTATGTCATGATTCAAATCAAATTTCTTTAATCTGAACACAATCAAATAGTCCTATAAGATACAATGCCATTTATATTCGTTTTTCGTCTAATTAAGGGATTGCTTTACCAAAAACTGCACCAATATACCATAGTAGCAAATATATGAGATGAATTCCTTTTAGGCTTGATCAAAATTGAAACGATGTTATAGATTTGTGAGCAAATCAATGAATAAAAATGACGTTTTGTTTTGTTTTTAAAGGCATTGAAATGTTTGTCGTTGGCCTACCAGCCAGGAGCAAGAACAAACTCAGAAGTATGACAGAGTGGATGGGGATCGCAAGTCAACCTAAAGCTAGACATTTTTACCCTATGGATTCATTTAGTGATTTAACGTCCATTCTTCAGGGCTTCTCAACATCTCTGTGTGAATTTGAAGGTTGGTGAAACGCTAAATCTTCATTTTATGAAAGGTGGCAGTTTATCAGACTACATCCAAAGATTATATATTGCATGAAACTATCAACTATTTTAACTTCCTTTTACATGATTTTAATAAATATTCAAAATAAATACAAATAAATCATTTGAGGGAAACAAAGAACAACTAATGTAACCTAACCCGCATATTTACGTTTTTGAATGTTTGTTTCACAGTGGTTGAGGATAGCAGTACAATTGTAGAAGATGAATCGGAGGAATTCGAATGCGATGTATTCTGGGCAGCGAAGGGCAAGAGTTGCAACGAGAACTGTAAGAAACAAGGGAAAGGCACGTGGAAGCAGACTTGTAAGAAATGGTGTCAGAATGACAAAAATTGCAATAAGGAATGTGAAAATGATTGGGCTAAAGACAAAGACAAATATTGCGGAAAGGACTGTGGCAAATACAGTGAAAGAAGCAAGACGTGTAAGTTATCCTTGGAAGAAGAGACAGACGAAGAGGAAGATGAACCACCCCCGGATGGTGAGTGTACATTTACCAATTTATAATTTGAAAGTTTTGTCTATTATGACTAGTGACACATATAGGCTGCACAATTCGCAATATCCTCATTCAAATTGACTTTCTTGTATATTGCGTGTATAATTATCGTAATGTTTCATAAATTTGAATACTGTTTCATATGTGTATTTCATTTGAGTTTCGAACGTAATAATAGAATTCCATACTATATACCCCATATACACTTCCGTCCATACATTTTCCTGAACCGATATAGAGTTAACACACATTGGCAGTCACAACCCACCACCACTAGCCATAAGTTAGATGCATACATATACTATCAATATGTAAAGTTATTATTGAATCTTCATTTTTGTCACTAAAACAACTTTATAAACTTGTTTAAGTGTCAGTTGATGGATAATTTATGCATCATAGCTTGACAAAAAAGTATCTTACTAACTAAATTAAACTAGGATCCCAAGCAGTAACGATGACTCAAGGATCACGATTACACTTACACTACCTTTGTTGTTTACAGAATATAAGCATTTCGGATCTTCTTTTCAGACTTTTGCCCAGAACCGTCAAGCTACATTCCCCATGAAACAGATTGTTCTCTTTACTACCAGTGCATTGATTCTGTACCAAGTTTGATGGATTGTGGACCGGGTACTCATTTCAACACCAAGTTGAATATATGTGACTGGCCTGAGAGTGCAGGTTGCATTTTCATTGAGGTAACAGAGCCTAAAGAAAAACGTCTACCTCAAAGTGGTTCCAACGGCAGTGGGTCAACCATTGGAAGCGGTGGTAAATCAGGCAAAAGCGGTTCATCTAAGAGTGGTTCCAGTGGAAGTGGCTCCAACGGCAGTGGGCCCTCTTCAAGTGGTTCGGATGAAAGTGAGGAATGCAGTGAATATCATTATAACCTTAATGAGTGTAAGAAGAGCTGTGGAAAGGGAAATGCGAAATCAAATGCCAAAAGCTGCGAAAAGACCTGTCATAACACCAGTGGAAAGATGTGTAAATCAACCATAAAAAGTGGCAGTAAATCAGGCAAAAGTGGTTCCTCTAAGAGTGGTTCCAGTGGAAGTGGTTCCGACGGCAGTGGGTCAACCATTCGAAGCAGTGTTAAATCAGGCAAAAGCGGTTCATCTAAGAGTGGTTCCAGTGGAAGTGGTTCCAACGGCAGTGGGTCAACCATTGGAAGCAGTGGTAAATCAGGAAAAAGTGGTTCCTCTAAGAGTGGTTCCAGCGATGGGGGGTCTGATGGAGGAGATACTGATGAAGAAATAGACAATGGAGCAGTGATATGTCCAACACCATCAAGTTACATCCCGCATGAGACAGACTGCAGCCGTTTCTACCAGTGTTCTAACAATAAACCACATTTAAGGCAATGTGGACCAGGTACTCATTTCAATTCAAGATTAAATGTATGTGACTGGCCTAAGAATGCAGGCTGCGTTGTTAGCAATCCATCTCTAGATGCAACAGACACTGAAACAGTCAAAGATCAGTCTACAAAGAGTGAGAAGTCTGCAAAAAGTGGTTCCAGTGGAAGTGGTTCCAACGGCAGTGGGTCAACCATTGGAAGCGGTGGTAAATCAGGCAAAATCGGTTCATCTAAGAGTGGTTCCAGTGGAAGTGGTTCCAACGGCAGTGGGTCCTCTTCAAGTGGTTCGGATGAAAGTGAGGAATGCAGTGAATATCATTATAACCTAAATGAGTGTAAGAAGAGCTGTGGAAAGGGAAATGCGAAATCAAATGCCAAAAGCTGCGAGAAGACCTGTCAGAACACCAGTGGAAAGATGTGTAAATCAACCATGAAAAGTGGCAGTAAATCAGGCAAAAGTGGTTCCTCTAAGAGTGGTTCCAGTGGAAGTGGTTCCGACGGCAGTGGGTCAACCATTGGAAGCGGTGGTAAATCAGGCAAAAGCGGTTCATCTAAGAGTGGTTCCAGTGGAAGTGGTTCCAACGGCAGTGGGTCAATCATTGGAAGCAGTGGTAAATCAGGAAAAAGTGGTTTCTCTAAGAGTGGTTCCAGCGGTGGGGGGTCTGATGGAGGAGATACTGATGAAGAAATAGACAATGGAGCAGTGATATGTCCAACACCATCAAGTTACATCCCACATGAGACAGACTGCAGCCGTTTCTACCAGTGTTCTAACAATAAACCACATTTAATGCAATGTGGACCAGGTACTCATTTCAATTCAAGATTAAATGTATGTGACTGGCCTGAGAATGCAGGCTGCGTTGTTATCAATCCATCTCTAGATGCAACAGACACTGAAACAGTCAAAGATCAGTCTACAAAGAGTGAGAAGTCTGCAAAAAGTGGTTCCAGTGGAAGTGGTTCAAACGGCAGTGGGTCAACCATTGGAAGCGGTGGTAAATCAGGCAAAATCGGTTCATCTAAGAGTGGTTCCAGTGGAAGTGGTTCCAACGGCAGTGGGTCCTCTTCAAGTGGTTCGGATGAAAGTGAGGAATGCAGTGAATATCATTATAACCTTAATGAGTGTAAGAAGAGCTGTGGAAAGGGAAATGCGAAATCAAATGCAAAAAGCTGTGAGAAGACCTGTCATAACACCAGTGGAAAGATGTGTAAATCAACCATGAAAAGTGGCAGTAAATCAGGCAAAAGTGGTTCCTCTAAGAGTGGTTCCAGTGGAAGTGGTTCCAACGGCAGTGGGTCAAACATTGGAAGCGGTGGTAAATCAGGCAAAAACGGTTCATCTAAGAGTGGTTCCAGTGGAAGTGGTTCCAACGGCAGTGGGTCAACCATTGGAAGCGGTGGTAAATCAGGAAAAAGTGGTTCCTCTAAGAGTGGTTCCAGCGGTGGGGGGTCTGATGGAGGAGATACTGATGAAGAAATAGAAAACGGAGCAGTGATATGTCCAACACCATCAAGTTACATCCCGCATGAGACAGACTGCAGCCTTTTCTACCAGTGTTCTAACAATAAACCACATTTAATGCAATGTGGACCAGGTACTCATTTCAATTCAAGATTAAATATATGTGACTGGCCTGAGAATGCAGGCTGCGTTGTTATCAATCCATCTCTCGATGGAACAGACACGGACACAGACGAAGATCAGTCTACAACGAGTAAGAAGTCTGCCAAAAGTGGTTCCAGTGGAAATGGTTCAAACGGCAGTGGGTCAACCATTGGAAGCGGTGGTAAATCAGGCAAAGGCAGTTCATATAAGAGTGGTTCCAGTGGAATTGGTTCCAACGGCAGTGGGTCCTCTTCAAGTGGTTCGGATGAAAGTGAGGAATGCAGTGAATATCATTATAACCTTAATGAGTGTAAGAAGAGCTGTGGAAAGGGAAATGCGAAATCAAATGCCAAAAGCTGCGAGAAGACCTGTCATAACACCAGTGGAAAGATGTGTAAATCAACCATAAAAAGTGGAAGTAAATCAGGCAAAAGTGGTTCCTCTAAGAGTTTTTCCAGTGGAAGTGGTTCCGACGGCAGTGGGTCAACCATTGGAAGCGGTGGTAAATCAGGCAAAAGCGGTTCATCTAAGAGTGGTTCCAGTGGAAGTGGTTCCGATGGCAGTGGATCAACCATTGGAAGCGGTGGTAAATCAGGCAAAAGCGTTTCATCTAAGAGTGGTTCCAGTGGAAGTGGTTCCAACGGCAGTGGGTCAACCATTGGAAGCGATGGTAAATCAGGCAAAAGTGGCTCATCTAAGAGTGGTTCCAGTGGAAGTGGTTCCGACGGCAGTGGGTCAACCATTGGAAGCGGTGGTAAATCAGGCAAAAGTGGTGCATCTAAGAGTGGTTCCAGTGGAAGTGATTCAAACGGTAGTGGGTCAACCATTGGAAGCGGTGGTAAATCAGGCAAAAGTGGTTCACCTAAGAGTGGTTCCAGTGGAAGTGGTTCCAACGGCAGTGGGTCAACCATTGGAAGTGGTGGTAAATCAGGCAAAAGCAGTTCATCTAAGAGTGGTTCCAGTGGAAGTGGTTCCGACGGCAGTGGGTCAACCATTGGAAGCGGTGGTAAATCTGGCAAAAGTGGTTCATCTAAGAGTGGTTCCATTGGAAGTGGTTCCAACGGCAGTGGGTCAACCATTGGAAGCATTGGTAAATCAGGCAAAAGCGGTTCATCAAACAGTGGTCCCAGTGGAAGTGGTTCCAACGGCAGTGGGTCAACCATTGGAAGCGGTGGTAAATCTGGCAAAAGTGGTTCATCTAAGAGTGGTCCCAGTGGAAGTGGTTCCAACAGCAGTGGATCAACCATTGGAAGCGGTGGTAAATCAGGCAAAAGTGGTTCACTTAAGAGTGGTTCCAGTGGAAGTGGTTCCAACGGCAGTGGGTCAAACATTGGAAGCGGTGGTAAATCAGGCAAAAGCGGTTCATCTAAGAGTGATTCCAGTGGAAGTGGTTCCAACGGCAGTGGGTCAACCATTGGAAGCGGTGGTAAATCAGGCAAAAGTGGTTCATCTAAGAGTGATTCTAGTGGAAGTGGTTCCAACGGCAGTGGGTCAACCATTGGAAGCGTTGGTAAATCAGTCAAAAGTGGTTCATCTAAGAGTGGTTCTAGTGGAAGTGGTTCCAACGGCAGTGGGTCAACCATTGGAAGCGGTGGTAAATCAGGAAAAAGTGGTTCCTCTAAGAGTGGTTCCAGCGGTGGGGGGTCTGATGGAGGAGATACTGATGAAGTAATAGACAATGGAGCAGTGATATGTCCAACACCATCAAGTTACATCCCGCATGAGACAGACTGCAGCCGTTTCTACCAGTGTTCTAACAATAAACCACATTTAATGCAATGTGGACCAGGTACTCATTTCAATTCAAGATTAAATGTATGTGACTGGCCCGAGAATGCAGGCTGCGTTGTTATCAATCCATCTCTCGATGGAACAGACACGGACACAGACGAGGATCAGTCTACAACGAGTAAGAAATCTGCAAAAAGTGGTTCCAGTGGAAGTGGTTCAAACGGCAGTGGGTCAACCATTGGAAGCGGTGGTAAATCAGGCAAAGGCAGTTCATCTAAGAGTGGTTCCAGTGGAAGTGGTTCCAACGGCAGTGGGTCCTCTTCAAGTGGTTCCGATGAAAGTGAGGAATGCAAGGAATATCATTATAACCTTAATGAGTGTAAGAAGAGCTGTGGAAAGGGAAATGCGAAATCAAATGCCAAAAGCTGCGAGAAGATCTGTCATAACACAAGTGGAAAGATGTGTAAATCAACCATGAAAAGTGGCAGTAAATCAGGCAAAAGTGGTTCCTCTAAGAGTGGTTCCAGTGGAAATGGTTCCGACGGCAGTGGGTCAACCATTGTTAGCGGTGGTAAATCAGGCAAAAGCGGTTCATCTAAGAGTGGTTCCAGTGGAATTGGTTCCGATGGCAGTGGGTCAACCATTGGAAGTGGTGGTAAATCAGGCAAAAGCGGTTCATTTAAGAGTGGTTCCAGTGGAAGTGGTTCCAACGGCAGTGGGTCAACCATTGAAAGCGTTGGTAAATCAGGCAAAAGTGGTACACTTAAGAGTGCTTCCAGTGGAAGTGGTTCCGACGGCAGTGGGTCAACCATTGGAAGCGGTAGTAAATCAGGCAAAAGCGGTTCATCTAAGAGTGGTTCCAGTGGAAGTGGTTCCGACAGCAGTGGGTCAACCATTGGAAGCGGTGGTAAATCAGGCAAAAGCGGTTCATCTAAGAGTGGTTCCAGTGGAAGTGGTTCCAACGGCAGTGGGTCAACCATTGGAAGCGTTAGTAAATCAGGCAAAAGCGGTTCATCTCAGAGTGGTTCCAGTGAAAATGGTTCCGACGGCACTGGGTCAACCATTGGAAGCGGTGGTAAATCAGGCAAAAGTGGTTCACCTAAGAGTGGTTCCAGTGGAAGTGGTTCCAACGGCAGTGGGTCAACCATTGGAAGCGGTGGTAAATCAGGCAAAAGCGGTTCACCTAAGAGTGGTCCCAGTGGAAGTGGTTCCAACGGCAGTGGGTCAACCATTGGAAGCGGTGGTAAATCAGGCAAAAGCGGTTCACCTAAGAGTGGTCCCAGTGGAAGTGGTTCCAATGGCAGTGGGTCAACCATTGGAAGCGGTGGTAAATCAGGCAAAAGCGGTTCATCTAAGAGTGGTTCCAGTGGAAGTGGTTCCAACGGCAGTGGGTCAACCATTGAAAGCGGTGGTAAATCAGGCAAAAGCGGTTCATCTAAGAGTGGTTCCAGTGGAAGTGGTTCCAACGGCAGTGGGTCAACCATTGGAAGCGGTGGTAAATCAGGCAAAAGTGGTTCATCTAAGAGTGGTTCCAACGGCAGTTGGTCCTCCTCAAGTGAGTCTGATACAAATGAAGAGTACGACGAAAATGATGGATTAGATAACAATGAGGGAGATGATAATGAAGGATATAATGAAGATGGGGATAGCGATGGAGGAGATAATGATGAAGGAAATAATGATGGACAGCATTATGAAGGTGGAGATAATGATGGAGACAACAACGATGATGAGGATAATGATGGAGACGATAAAAATGGTGGAGATGATGATGGAGATGATGACGATGACGGGGATAATGAAGAAGGAGATATTGAGGGAGATGATAATGATGGAGGAGATAATGAAGGTGGAGATAATGATGGAGGAGATAATGAAGGAGACGATAATGGAGGAGGAGATAATGAAGGAAATGATAACGATGGTGGGGATAACAGTGGAGTAGATAATGATGGAGATCAAAATGGAGGAAATAACGATGGAGGAGATAATGCTGATGGAGATAGCGATGGATTAGATAATAATGAGGGAGATGATAATGAAGGAGATAATGAAGATGGGGATAGCGATGGAGGAGATAATGATGAAGGAAATAATGATGGACAGCATGATGAAGGTGGAGATAATGATGGAGACAACAACGATGATGATGATAATGATGGCGACGATAATGATGGTGGAGATGATGATGGAGATGATAACGATGACGGGGATAATGAAGAAGGAAATATTGAGGGAGATGATAATGATGGAGGAGATAATGAAGGTGGAGATAATGATGGAGGAGATAATGAAGGTGGATATAATGATGGAGGAGATAATGAAGGAGAAGATAATGAAGGAAATGATAACGATGGTGGAAATAACAGTGGAGGAGATAATGATGGAGATCAAAATGGTGGAGATAACGATGGAGGAGATAATGCTGATGGAGATAGCGATGGAGGAGATAATCATGGTGGGGGAAACGATGGAAGCGATAATGAAGGTGGTGATAACGACAGAAATGATAATGAAGGTGGTGATAATGATGGAGATGATAATGAAGGTGGTGATAACGATGGAGATGATCATATTGGAGGAGATCTCGAAGGTGGAGATAAAAGTGAAGGTGGGGATAATAATGGCGGAGATAACGATGGAAGAGATAATAATGGTGGAGATAATGATGGAGGTGATAATGGTGATGGAGATAACGATGGAGGAGATAATGATGGAGGAGAAAACGATGGTGTAGATATCGATGGTGGAGATAACGATGGAGGAGATAATGATGGTGGAGGAGATAATGATGGAGGAGGTAATGATGGTGGAGATATCGATGGAGGAGATAATGATGGAGGAAATAACAATGGAGGAGATAATGATGATGGAGATAACGATGGAGGAGATAACACTGGAGGAGATAATGATGGTGGAGATAACGATGGAGGAGATAACACTGGAGGAGATAATGATGGTGGAGATAACGATGGAGGAGATAACACTGGAGGAGATAATGATGGTGGAGATAACGATGGAGGAGATAACACTGGAGGAGATAATGATGGTGGAGATAATGATGATGGAGATAACGATGGAGGAGATAATGATGGAGGAAATAATAATGGAGGAGATAATGATGATGGAGATAATGATGGAGGAGATAATGATGGTAGAGATAACGATGGAGGAGATAACACTGGAGGAGATAATGATGGTGGAGATAACGATGGAGGAGATAACACTGGAGGAGATAATGATGGTGGAGATAACGATGGAGGAGATAACACTGGAGGAGATAATGATGGTGGAGATAATGATGATGGAGATAACGATGGAGGAGATAATGATGGAGGAAATAATAATGGAGGAGATAATGATGATGGAGATAATGATGGAGGAGATAATGATGGTGGAGGAGTTAATGATGGAGGAGGTAATGATGGTGGAGATATCGATGGAGGAGATAATGATGGAGGAAATAACAATGGAGGAGATAATGATGATGGAGATAACGATGGAGGAGATAACACTGGAGGAGATAATGATGGTGGAGATAACGATGGAGGAGATAACACTGGAGGAGATAATGATGGTGGAGATAACGATGGAGGAGATAACACTGGAGGAGATAATGATGGTGGAGATAACGATGGAGGAGATAACACTGGAGGAGATAATGATGGTGGAGATAATGATGATGGAGATAACGATGGAGGAGATAATGATGGAGGAAATAATAATGGAGGAGATAATGATGATGGAGATAATGATGGAGGAGATAATGATGGTAGAGATAACGATGGAGGAGATAACACTGGAGGAGATAATGATGGTGGAGATAACGATGGAGGAGATAACACTGGAGGAGATAATGATGGTGGAGATAACGATGGAGGAGATAACACTGGAGGAGATAATGATGGTGGAGATAATGATGATGGAGATAACGATGGAGGAGATAATGATGGAGGAAATAATAATGGAGGAGATAATGATGATGGATATAATGATGGAGGAGATAATGATGGTAGAGATAACAATGGAGGAGATAATGATGATGGAGATAACGATGGAGGAGATAACACTGGAGGAGATAATGATGGTGGAGATAACGATGGAGGAGATAATGATGGTGGACATAACGATGGAGGAGATAACACTGGAGGAGATAATGATGGTGGAGATAACGATGGAGGAGATAACACTGGAGGAGATAATGATGGTGGAGATAATGATGATGGAGATAACGATGGAGGAGATAATGATGGAGGAAATAATAATGGAGGAGATAATGATGATGGAGATAATGATGGAGGAGATAATGATGGTGGAGATAACGATGGAGGAGATAACACTGGAGGAGATAATGATGGTGGAGATATCGATGGTGGAGATAACGATGGAGGATATAATGATGGAGATAACGATGGAGGAGATAACAATGGAGGGTATAATGATAGTGGAGAAAACGCTGGAGGAGATAATGATGGTGAAGGTAATGATGGAGGAGATAATGATGGTGGATATAACGACGGAGGAGATAATGACGGTGAATATAACGACGAAGGAGATAATGATGGTGGAGATAACGATGGAGCAAATAATGATGGTGGAGATAACGATGGAAGAGATAATGATGGTGCAGATAACGATGGAGGAGATAATGATGGTGGATATAACGACGGAGGAGATAATGACGGTGGATATAACGACGGAGGAGATAATGACGGTGGATATAACGACGGAGGAAATAATGACGGTGGAGATAACGATCGAGGAAATAATGATGATGGAAATAATGATGGAGGCGATGATGATGGTGGTGATAACGATGGAGGAGATAATGATGATGGAGATAACGATGGAGGAGATAATGATGGAGGATATAACAATGGTGGAGATAATGATGGCGGAGATAACGATGGAGGAGATAATGATGGTGGAGACAATGGTGATGGGGATGACGATGGAGGAGATAATGATGGAGGAGATAACGATGGGGGAGATAATGAAGGAGGAGATATTGATGGTGAAGATAACGATGGAGGAGATCACGAGGGAGGATATAACAATGGAGGAGATAATGATGGTGGAGATAATGATGGAGGATACATTGATGGTGGAGATAACGATGGAGGAGATAACAATGGAGGAGATAATGATGGTGGAGATAATAATGGAGGAGATAATGATGGTGGAGATAACTATGGGGGAGATAATGATGGAGGAGATAACGATGGAGGAGATAATGATGGAGGAGATATTGATGGTGAAGAAAACGATGGAGGAGATAACAATGGAGGAGATAATGATGGTGGAGATAATGATGGAGGAGATAACACTGGAGGAGATAATGATGGTGGAGATAACGATGGAGCAAATAATGATGGTGGAGATAATGATGGAGGAGATAACACTGGAGGAGATAATGATGGTGGATATAACGATGGAGCAAATAATGATGGTGGAGATAAGGATGGAGGAGATAATGGTGATGGAGATAACGATGGAGGAGATAATGATGGTGGATATAACGACGGAGGAGATAATGACGGTGGATATAATGACGGAGGAAATAATGACGGTGGAGATAACGATGGAGGAAATAATGATGATGGAAATAATGATGGTGGAAATAATGATGGTGGAGACAATGGTGATGGGGATAACGATGAAGGAGATAACGATGGAGGAGATAATAATGAAGGAGATAATGATGGTGGAGACAATGGTGATGGGGATAACGATGGAGGAGATAATGATGGAGGAGATAACAATGGTGGAAATAATGATGGTGGAGACAATGGTGATGGGGACAACGATGGAGGAGATAATGATGGAGGAGATAACAATGGTGGAAATAATGATGGTGGAGATAACGATGGGGGAGATAACGATGGAGGAGATAATGATGGAGGAGACAACAATGGTGGAGATAATGATGGTGGAGACAATGGTGATGGGGATAACGATGGAGGAGATAATGATGGAGGAGATAACAATGGTGGAAATAATGATGGTGGAGAAAACGATGGGGGAGATAATGATGGAGGAGATATTGATGGTGAAGATAACGATGGAGGAGATCACGAGGGAGGAGATAACAATGGAGGAAATAATGATGGTGGAGATAATGATGGAGGATACATTGATGGTGGAGATAACGATGGAGGAGATAACAATGGAGGAGATAATGATAGTGGAGATAATAATGGTGGGGATGACGATGGAGCTGATATTGGTGGTGGAGATAATGATGGAGGAGATGACGATGGAGAAGATAATGATGATGGAGATAATGATGGTGGAGATAACGATGGAGGAGATAACACTGGAGGAGATAATGATGGTGGAGGTAACAATGGAGGAGATAATGATGGAGGAGAAAACGATGGAGGAGATAATAATGGAGGAAATAATGATGATGGAGATAACGATGGTGGAGATAACGTTGCAGTAAACAATGGCGGTGGGGATAATGATGGAGGAGATAATGATGAAGGAAATGATAATGGAGAAGAAAACAATGATGGAGGAGATAATGATGGAGGGGTTAACGAAGGAGGTGATTATGATGAAGTAGATAATCCAGGCGGTAACAATAATGGAGGAGATAATGATGACGATGGAGGAGATTACCACGAAGGAGATAACGATGAAATTGATAATGGTGAAGGTAATGATGATGAAAATGTTGATGGAGGGGATAATGCAGGTGATGACAATAACGGTGGTGATGATGCTGGAGAAGATAATAAAGGTGATGAAATTAATGAAGATGGTGAAACTGGAGAAAGTGAAAATGGTGGAAATAATGGAAATACTGAATTAGGAACAACGGAGACCCCTGAACCAAGTGAGTACTCATTTTTTTAAACAGCCCACTACTTGCCTCGAGCCTTTTTTAAATGTTCCAATCGGTTAATTGAAAATATGGGCTTTGAAGTATTTACTCAAATATTACAATACACATGATTGCTTAGGAAGGAATAGAGATTATTACAGTAATCATTCTATATTTACTATCTACTATACCTAGCCCCTAGAAATGCATAAGATACTCTTTTTGTCTAATTGTATTGTTTAGTATATTTTTGCAAGTACCTTATTAACATCTATCAGTCTTCCGATAAACCATTCATAAGGAATAGACAAATAAAAACAAATAACATAATCATTACTATTAAGCCAAATGTGTTGCTCATGAACACTAAATGATAGTAGTGTTTTATTGCAACCCATTATGTCGTGTGTATTGTAATAAATATAGCTCGTTTGCATAACTATTCCAAATCATATACGAATGAATACTTTTCAGTTCATGGCAAATGGACAGAGTGGTCTGAATGGAGCAAATGTTCTCGCGAATGCGGTGGTGGAAACTCTTACAGATTGAAGTATTGCACTAATCCTGCTCCTAGATATGGAGGTGATGACTGTATAGGAGTGAGCTATGAAGTTAAAACATGCGCCGAGGCTAGGTGTGCAACAGGTATCGTGTTTTTATTAAGATTTCTTCAAGTTAAAATCTGTCCAGAGGCAAGTATTGAATTTAAAAATTAAAGCCTAGCAATAAAGTTGATTCTTACCATTGTATAAGGGTTCAAAAAACATTTAAGATTATCCTGTGAAAACTCATGCGTTGTTATTCTAGTTATTCGGAATCAAAAATGTTACAAGTGAAATAGGGAGTCCGTCTTGTCCTGGCTATTTTGAATTGGTCATGTATTGTAAATACAGGATCGATCCAAGGAGGATTGGCTCCCAGAATGCAACACCGATATTCTGCAAAACAATCACCTAGCGATAGCTTTGTTGGAGAGTATCGGGTCATTCTCCATGCAGTCGTACAAATTATACAGACACGAATAGCAAATGACGCATGCGTGGAGATTAAAGAATATCGAGTTGGAACCCTGGCTTCCAATCCTCCTTGGGATCGATCAGAACAAAATTACAACAAAACTTTGTTTCAGTTAACGGGAACTGGGCGGATTGGAGTTCATGGACTGACTGCTCTGTATCCTGTGGGAGTGGAACTATCTTCAGGTATCGCGAGTGTAATGACCCAGCTCCGAGTGGCGGTGGGTCATTATGTGAGGGAAACGCTGCAGATGTAGTCTTATGTGAACGTCAATGTAACGAAACGCTCGGTGAGTCATAGTGTCAGTGGGGTTCAGTATGATTGCATTTGAGCAATCCTTGCAGGCATATTTACAATTTGAAATAATAGATGAAAGCATATTCGCTCATGTCGCTTCATTTATACATTCGATATTGTCTTTAGAATTTGTTAAACTAATTAATTAGCTAATTAACTAAAGAAACACTCGTATACATAAATATAAAATACTCGAAAGCCGATTGGGTTTTTGAAACGATACCTGTTATCTTCACAGCCGAGATGTGCAATAGGTTATGTTGTAATTACATGGTGTTCATAAAGTCTCTTTTGATTTCAATGAAAATTTGTAGCGTAATCGTAAAGGGACTTTTTTGACATCCTTTGTGCATTGCAACACTATTATATTCTCTATACTACATCACGTTTCAGAGTGTGAAAGTGGCCAGATCCAATGTAACGGTAGCAACACGTGTATCGAAGGCCTCCGTTGTGACAATGTAGAGGATTGTCCCGGAGGAGACGACGAGGCCAATTGCACAGAGGCAGAGCTGAGGGCCTCGTTGGATTTCAAATCTTCGGGGGGAAACACAGGTGGCCTCAGAGATTCCCTTAGCATGTTCTTCCAGAGTAAGTTGTTAGCTTTATTACAAGATGGCTGTTAGAAAAAAATAAGGTTCAATATTGAATGAAACAAGGATGCTTTGGCAATCATACCTAAAATAACTGTTCCTGAGTAGTCTAAGCTATGAACACTGCAAATAGGATTTGATACAGCAGAGGAGCTGACGAACTTGTAATCTTACTAGATTCAATGGCTGCATATAAGGTAGTCTTGCCCAAGTCGGTCTCTTTTTCTTATCTTGGGTAATAATTCAAGATCAGATAAATAAACAAATACCGACTTGGGCAAGACTACATATAAGGCCCCAAATATTTCGTCATTTCCATTTCCATTTTCTGGTTTTCTTATAATGTCCTGGCCATTTTACCCGGGAAAGGCATATTTGTTATCCTCGATTTGCTCGAATACATTGATTATTAATTGAGGTGTTCTACTGTTCACGCCTAGGAGTTAACGGAGTTCAATTTTCATTTTTTAGATAATGCGGCGGCGAATCCCATGTTACACCCAGTACTGCTGATTTTCATACTACTAGCGACATCTTTCAATCTACTGGATAATATATATATACCGAGGATGAACAATGAAGCCAAAAGACTTAAATTGAATGGATAAAACACAAAAAATGTAAAGAATGACTGCATACAATGTACGGTCAAATCGCCAAATCAGAATGCAGTGTAATATACCAAAAGTGTGTGATTATGCATACAATTTTTATACCGATTGAATGAGTGCGTATTTATTTATCAGAACAAGAAAATGAAAATGACAAAGGAGGATTGGCTTCAAGGGTTCCATTTCGATATTCAAACAGTTGTCACTTTATCACTTCAAAATTTGAATCAGGAGTTTTGCTCTTATTTCCGAACAAAAAATATAAAGATATTAGCTCGCTCAAATCTTTTGGATTGCTGATTATTTATTTATACTCAGTTATAATGTCAGAAAATAACGACATTTTCAATGTTGTCGTGGATCAAGGTCAAGGTCGAATATCGATTTGGAACCCCTACCCTGGGAACCAATTAATTCTTTAAAAATGACTATTTACATTGTGTATCAAAATACAGTATGGCCATCAACCAATCAGAGCGTGTGTATATATTTCATATTGAATATAATATTTTTCTAACACAGTATTTTTATAGTACTATTTTATCTTAGATATTAAACAACAGACTGTGGCATTATAGTGAAACAATATTGAAAAATAAATAAGCATTTATAATTGAGAGCAGCATATCTCACAAATGGAACTTCTACTGTTTTTCCTATTAATAGATGTCACCCAAGCTAGGGTGGCACGATTTACGATTGCATTTACCATCATGGGCGAATATGAAGCTAGGAATGAGGCGGGCAAGGCGGATGCCTCATCAGTATTTCACTGAAAGTAGTATTCAGAATACTTTTTACTGAAACTGTGAAATTGATGTTCAATAATAGTATTTATATCCTCGATTTTCCTCACCCATTATAATTTGCTTTACATATTAGAATTTGCCTCACCGATGAGAACTTGCCTCACCGATTAGAACTTGCCTCACCTATTATCATTTCCATATTGTAATACTGAGGATGTCAAGCGTAAATGGACCATCTCTTCAGATCGAAATCGAAACCAAACTGACATTATGTAAATTTAAGTTGAAAAACCATGAAAAACAGTCAACGCATTACTGTAGCGTCCGTTTTCCGTCCGTAAATTGAATTGATGGTCTTAGACACGTTTATTGTTTGAGCAAACGAGAGCTTTAAATAGGCTACGTTAATTAAAGTGAAGTAATGCAATCTTCCCCAATTTTTACTCTTACATACCCACGGGTAGTATCTAAAGCCCCGCTATGATTTAGAAGTCGCGAGCAAATACCCGCTGAAATCGCGAGCAATTAAAAGAAAAGAAGGGTTATCTTTTGTTTACTTAAATTGTATGTTGTAAAAAGCGTTTTCATTTAATTTTACTCAATTATTACATGGTATTGATACTAAAAAGCAACTTCTGCAAAAAAGGATCACGAGCTGATGTTCTGAGTTTTGTTATTCGATAATTGGAGAGAGAATGTATCATCTTGAATCTTTATCTATATATTTCTATATTTTATAGCTGAAGAAGGTCATTGCCCTTCAGTTGAAATGGTCATAGTAATATGAAATGAAGGTATTGTGAGTTTCACTTCCTAAAGTTTCACAAAAAATTATATATTTCAATTTTAGCATATCCCTTGAGGCCCCGCTTCTACCATGAGCAATAAACTAAAGATCCCGCTGAAAACATGAGGAGGCCCCGCTGAAAACATGAGGAGGTCCCGCTGAAATCAGGAGCAAGTGGCTCTCTAAAATGGAGTGAAGACCGATTTGACTTTGCAAATCTGCCACGACTGTAGCCAACGTCATAAATATATTAATTATTGATACTCTTCAGAGCACATATATATCATATATCATTGTCATTGTTATTATCGGTTCGAGCAACCCCCCCCCCTTACCAAAAGCTGGCTACGAGCATGATTCCAATAAAACCATTTCACTTAATGTATTTCGACCTGACTCCATCGAGAAATTTACCAAGAGAAGATTTAAATCCATTCCACGACTTTTGACAAGTTTCAAATAACTCGTTCTTCTTTGTATGCAATATATATTTATATTTCACTGAAGTTACATTATACTGTAGTTCAGTATATTACTACCTTAGAGGATTCAGCACCAATGGCGCACACGTTTGAAAAGGCAATTTATGGATCAACTGCTAGATGTAAGTAACAAAGGAGTACATCATCCGATTATGAGTCCGAAATAATAATAATCAAATAATTTCATCATTAAAAATTAATCGTAGGTTATGTTAAACGCACGTGTTACGCGGAAAACATGATGCAAATATGTGTCATATTCTGCAATAAATATGGCATATTCACTTGCGGTGTATGACAGATTCAGCTGCAGTATATTGCATACCCACTAAGCAATGAGAACACGATACGGAAGTACGCATTTGTCAATTGCATTGATTGAACAAACGGGTAATCATTGTGTCATTTTCACCTGCGGTATATGACATATTCGGCAAGTGAGTATGACATATTCTGCAAGTGACTATCAGGTATTCACTGAAATCAATGTATCGCATATTCACGGCGGAATATCGCATACTCACCTGCGGAATATGCCATAAACTGCAGGTGAGTATGGCATATACTGTATACCCGTATCACAAATACCACGCAACCATAAATGTATGCCATACTCCGCGTAACATCGTATGTGTTATGCGGAATACGATGTTACGCGGAATATGGCATATATTCATGATTGCGTGGTATTTATGATACAGGTGTATATGCCATATTCAGCTGTGGTATATGGCGTATTCCGCAGGTGAGTATGGCATATTCCGTATTGAATATGTGATACATTGATTTCAGTAAATACCCCATGCTCGCAGAATATGTCATACTCACTTGCAGAATATATTACACCGCAGGTGAGTATGCCATATACCGCAGGTGAATCTGTCATACTCCACAAGTGAATATGCCATATTCATTGTGGAATATGACATATATTTGTATCGTGTTTACCGCGTAACAATATGTCCAGGAAAATGGCTTATGCAGGACATACGATTTATATGTAGAGTAGAACCTGAATTATCATGGAGACTTTGTGGTTCTCCTTTCTCTCTAAATTTCATCTTCTTGCAACTTGGGGTGTCTTTGTTTAATACAAGACTCATTACCCTGAACCTCAGGCTTCAATTAAGTTCATTCTTGAAATGATATCCACGTTCTCCTATACATTTTGATATGGATGCAACTCTATAAAATGTTTGACGAAATCTCTGGTAGCTTGAAGTTGGAATGGAAACATTAGAAACCTGGCCCCTAGAATGAAACAGTATATATACAGTAATTATTAGAAGTACTTAACTTGGTCTTTCGTGTACGTTTATTTGAAGAACCTCAATATTTTATGTAATAGTAATAAGCTTTCCTCGTGATCGAAGCGGGTACTCGTGATATCTCCTCCTGTTTTCAGCGGGACCTCCTCATGTTTTCAGCGGGGCTTCCTCATAATTTCAGCGGGGCCACTGGCATACCTTCAATGATGTATTTCACCCCCCACAGTGGATGTTTTTGAAAACAAACTTATCAATACATACAATGTTGATCCAATATTCATAATGAGGTATGTATATCGTAGTTCTTGTCTCTATTTTAACCATGAAAGTAATATGTTAACAGTAAATTATGCAAACGTGCATATTGACGCCCGTTTCTTCCATGCCAGTAAAAAAAGTTATCTTTCATGTCATTGTTTGTGAAGATATACCTGTTCTGAAAGTATACCTAAAGTATCAAAGAACAGTAATGCGTATTCTTACCTTTTTGGTCCATATTTCCAGATGAATTAAATAAAAAGGACTTTGCTCGTGATTTCAGCGGGAACTTGCTCGCGACCTCTCAATTATAACGGGGCTTTGGATACAACCCGTGATACCTGCGACAAAGAGAAGCGTTTGTACATAAAAAGATACGCCTGGCACTTTACAAAGTAAAATGAGATTTAGTTAAATTCACCTTGATGTTTATGGAAGATTCCTTTAACTAATAAAAATGCAAAATGTGATACAATAATGCATCATAAATGATGAGCGAGAGGTACGAGTGTAGCTCATATAAGGTGTCGTTTTCCGAGCAATATTCCATTATGGATCCTGATCAGCACTACAACCTTGCCATTTTTCTTGTTATGATCTGAGTATCATGTGATGTTTCAGGTCATCTAAACGGCCAACCCCCCTTGGATTTTAAAAAAAGGTTTCAGCCCTTGGTGAATCCTGGCTAGGGGACTGCTGGTTAATTACTTATGAAATCAACTAACAGAAATCCGCAATGTTATTAGATCCTCATTAGTTTCTGACACTTTCACCTTTACAACTGGTGTTCAAACCCGGGAAAATTAGTTAGCTAGCGCCATGTTCGTTTCACCTTCGTATGTTATCTGCGTAAATACTAATTAATGCTTCTTGTGTAACTGGAATCATGCAACAAGATATCTATAATTGAACAGTCATAAACATTATACTTAATTACAACATTTATAGTTCACGAAGGATATTACATATATCATTTACGTCATGTATAATTACATAAACCTCGTTATGTGTCTTGGACTAGGGCACACCCCATTCTCTTATACGTCGTAACACCGGAAGCTTACGACGTTATACCCAATATTTTCGGCGGGAGATTTGTAAGTACTCATTTACTTCGACGTTTTGACAGAATATGGTCCTTTCCCTTTCGTGGAAACATTGACCATACCATGCAGATATACCTCTAATGTCGCTACGTCTCAACATTTCGTCTGAACACGGTCTAAAACTTCTCAAACCTTCTAGAAAGCTCAAAGATACATTGAAACCTATTTACATGTTCTTACTTTTTTCGATTTTTGAGAAATACGTGTAAATGGCTCATTATACTAGATTGTCCTCCCACCACCTTTTTACCGCAAGGTCCACATGGTATTACACAACAATAATTTCAAACACAGGGTCTTGATTATAATCATCTGGGGAATAATCAATCAATCAACGTATGCAATTTAAAAGGACTTTGATCGATTGGAATGACTCTGTTTGTATTAACATGTTGATCTGATAAGTCAATTTAAATGCAATCTCGTTGAATATATCCCCCTGTCCTGATATGGCAGGCCAATGGTACGGTTCGAAGTATGACAGGGCTAGACTTTTCTTTTTGACAAACTACAACGATCCTTGTGGGAGAACGAATGCCAAGATCGATGGAAATTATTGAGCGCTTAGAATCATTTAATGGCGCTTTATACTAGTAGTAGTCTAGCTACAAGCCCTTATGACACAGGTTGTTAAAGTAGATAGTCTAGGGTCTTCAAGCAAGACTAATTTACAATCATTTGCACAAAACGCCATTTTTGAGTGATGAACATTTTTCA